TGTGTTACCACACCTCGCTATTTTAAAATTTTTCTGTAGAAATGGTGTCTCACTGTGTTGTTTAGGCTAGTCTCGAACTCCTGGTCTCAAGCAATTTTTCCCACCTCAAGCCTCCCAAAGGGCGGATTACAGGCGTGAGCCACCATGCCCATTCAAGAATTAAACTTTTAAGTAATCTTTTACTGAAGTATCACAAATACAGAAAAGTACACAAATCATAAGCCTGCAGCTTAATGAATTTTACAAAATGCACACACACATGTTCAACTAGTATACAGAGCCTTTAAAAAAGGATAACCAGGCTGGGCGTGGTGGCTTACACCTGTAATCCCAGCACTTTGGGAGGCCGAGGCGGGTGGATCACGAGGTCAAGAGATTGAGACCATCCTGGTCAACATGGTGAAACCCCATCTCTACTAAAAATACAAAAAATTAGCTGGGCATGGTGGCGCATGCCTGTAATCCCAGCCACTCAGGAGGCTGAAGCAGGAGAATTGCCTGTTCCCAGGAGGCGGAGGTTGCGGTGAGCCGAGATCATGCCATTGCACTCCAGCCCGGGTAACAAGAGCAAAACTCCGTCTCAAAAATAAAAGGATAACCAGCATCCCAAAACATTTCCATTCTCTCTTCAGAGACTAGCCCCAAAGATAATCTCGTGTTCATCATCATAGATTAGTCTGTTTTGTTTTGTTTTTTTCCAGAGACAGAGTCTCACTTTGTTGCCCAGGCTGGAGTGCAGTGGCACAATCTCGATCTCAGGTTGCTGCAACCTCCACCTCCTGAGTTCAAGCAATTCTCATGCCTCAGCCTCCCAAGTAGCTGGGACTATAAGGCTCGTGCCACCACACTTGGCTAATTTTTGTATTTTTAGTAGAGTCCAGGTTTCACCATGTTGCCCAGGCTGGACTTAAACTCCTGAGTTCAGGCAATATGCCTGCCTTGGCCTCCCAAAGTGCTAGGGTTACAGGTGTGAGTCAATGCACTCAGCCTGTTTTCATACTTTATGTATAGCTATAAATAAGTAAATATGGCCGGGCACAGTGGCTCACACCTGTAATCCCAGCACTTGGGAGGCCGAGGCAGGCGGATCACGAGGTCAGGAGTTCAAAACAAGCTTGGCTAATATGGTGAAACCCTGTCTCTACTAAATATACAAAAATTAGCCAGGTATGATGGCACATTCCTGTAGTCCCAGCTACTCAGGAGGCTGAGGCAGAAGAATCACTGAACCTGGGAGATGGAGGTTATAGTGAGCCAGGATCACACCACTGGACTCCAGCCAGAGTGACAGAGCAAGACTCTGTCTCAAAAATAGAGAAATGCATATTATAGTGGTGTGGCTTATTTCACTCAACATTATGTTTATGAGATTTATCCACATTACTGGGTCAAACATTTATTCAATAAATATACAATAATCTGCCATTGAGATATTCCAGGTTTGGGCTAATACAAATACTGCTGCTACGAACATTCTTGTAATCAGGTTTAACCACATGAAATCACCATTTTTGCAAATAGACAACTGGCAAATACTAGCAATATTATACATACAGCTCCACTAATTGCATGTCCTTTAGTGCACATCTACTTGCATTCTGTTGGATATATGCCCAGGGGTTGGATTACAGGGCCATAGGATGTACAAATCTTCAGCTTTAGTAGATATTGCCAATTTTTTTTGTTTTTTTTTTTTTGAGACGGAGTTTCGCTCTTGTTACCCAGGCTGGAGTGCAATGGCACGATCTCTGCTCACTGCAACCTCCGCCTCCTGGGTTCAAGCAATTCTCCTGCCTCAGCCTCCCGAGTAGCTGGGACTATAGGCGCGCACCACCATGCCCAGCTAATTTTTATATTTTTAGTAGAGATGGGGGTTTCACCTTGTTGACCAGGATGGTCTCGATCTCTTGACCTCATGATCCACCCGCCTTGGCCTCCCAAAGTGCTGGGATTTCAGGCGTGAGCCACCACGCCCGGCCCTGCCAAACAGTTTTTTAAAGTGATTCTACCAACCCACGCTTCCATCAGCAATGTATGAGATTTCCAGTAGCTATTCTCATTAGTGTGTAGAAGTATCACAATGTGGTGTGGTTTTTTTGTTTTTTTTGTTGTTGTTGTTGTTTTTGAGATGGAGTCTTGCTCTTATTACCCAGGCTGGAGTGCAGTGGCGCAATCTCAGCTCACTGCAACCTCTGCCTCCCAGGTTCAAGTGATTCTCCTACCTCAGCCTCCCAGGTAGCTGCAATGACAGGCGCCCGCCACCACACCCAGCTAATTTTTGTATTTTTAATAGAGTCGGGTTTTCACCATGTTGGCCAGACTGGTCTCAAACTCCTGACCTCAGGTGATCTGCATGCCTTGGCCTCCCAAAGTGCTGGGATTACAGGTGTTGAGCCACCATGCCTGGACTTTTTTTTTTTTTTTTTAATGAAACTTTTGTTTCACACATGTATCCTGGATCACAGTCAAAATAGTTTTAAAAACACAGAAACTAGATGACAGGCTACACATAATGATGGAAGGAGTAGGAGGAGCCAGAGACACCTGAATCTGGGTGACAAAAACAGGGAAGTGAGAAGGAGCTAGTTTCTGGGGGGAAGAAGGTGACTTTCATTTTGAAGGCATCAATTTGGTTTTATAGTAAATCAGCAGTAGTTGTCACTTTCTTTTTATTTCTGGCTCTGGTTAGAGCATATTTCTGAATAAATGCTTTCAGGAAGGAGGGTGATTCCCCTATAGGTCATTCATAATTATTTCTCAATAAGAGATGATGCTTTACTGGGGAAAACCACATTTATTGAACTCTTATCTTGTGCTGGGTTCTTTGCATCCAGTTTCTCATTAATTCTCCAAGCAGCCCTCTGAGGTGGGTAACATTAACTGTTTTACAAATGAGGAAGGTGAGGTTCAGAGAGGATGAGAAACTGCCTCTGGTCATGCAGTTCGTAAGTGATAAACTGTCTTGTAAGCAAACCAGACCATCTCTGAAAGCATCACCAGGACTCCTCATGGCCTCATGTATTAGTTTCTTGGGGCTGCTGTAATAAATGACCACAAACTGGGTGGCTTAAAACAACAGACATTTACTCTCTGCAGTTCAGGAGGCTGGAAGCCCAAAATCAAAGTGTTATCTGGGTTGGTTCCTTCAAAGGCTCTAGGGGGACCCTGGTCCATGTCTCTCTCCTAGCTTCTAGTGACTGCTGGCAACCCTTGGCCTTCCTTGGCTTACAGATGCATCATTCCAATCCCTGCTTCTATCTTTAGTCTGCCCCAGTCCAGTGTGACCTCATTTTAATTAGTTACATCTATAATGACCTTATATGGAAATAATAAGGTACTGGGGGTTAGGACTTCAACAAATCTTTTTTGAGGGATGCAATACAATCATAACATCTCATTAAGTTGAATAAGCCCTACAGTTGAGGAAATTACTTCCTCTTGGTTTGGAGGATCTTGCACAAAAAGTTGATGTTATTTCTTGTTAGATTCCTAAGTTCCCCAGAAACTGCCAAGGTTCCTAGACTTCCTATGAATAATATTTTTTTTTTTTTTTTGAGACAAGGTCTAGCTCTGTCCCCAGGCTGGAGTGCAGTGGCATGATCTCCACTCACTGCAACCTCTACCTCCCGGACTCAGGTGATTCTCCCACCTCAGCCTCCTGAGTAGCTGGGATGACAGGTGTGCAACACTACACCCGGCTAATTTTTTTAGCCATGTTGCCCTGGGTGGTCTGGAACTCGTGAGCGCAAGCTATTCGCCCATCTTGGCCTCCCAAAGTGCTGGGATTAAAGGCAGGAGCCACTGCTCCCAGCCAGGACTTATTAATACTTCCTCCAGACACGAACAATCAACCCACTGCTGCCTCAAAAAACATAAACTCATCACCTCTCCCTCCTTCGTTAACTGGCTCCCCATCTTCCAGAAAGAGTCCTTTTCTTTCCACTCTCCTTACATTTCCCAACTTCAATTCCTCATAGTTGGCCAGGCGCGGTGGCTCACCCCTGTAATCCCAGGACTTTGGGAGGCCGAGGCGGGCGGATCACCTGAGGTCAGGAGTTCGAGACCAGTCTGGCCAACATGGTGAAACACCATCTCTACTAAAAATACAAAAATTAGCCGGGCATGGTGGCGCACACCTGTAATCTCAACTACTCAGGAGGCTGAGGCAGGAGAATTGCTTGAAATCGGGAAACCGAGGTTGCAATGAGCCGAGATCGCACCGTTGCACTCCAGCCTGGGCAAAATACACTCGCTTCGCGATTTCTCTTTGCTCCCAGGTTCGTCACCTCCAATCCAGCCTCACGTTCGCTATACACCATATGGCCAATTTTCTAGAAACACATCTCCAGTCTGACTCTGCAAATTATATACCTGAGAGACTTCGGGCTTCCTACCTGGTGGAGCTATTCAATGGCCCCACCCAGCATTCAAGGATCAACTAAATTTGGCGCCAGATTCATCTCCCTTTATCCATTCTAAGTGGAATACCGCTCCAGCGCCAAAGCCCTCTCCTCCTCCCTCGCCCTTTCCTAATCGCTTGCCTGCCCTGTTCACCAGCTGAGCTCCTGAAACCCTTCGCATCTCACCCCGTTTTTCCAGTCTATCTGGTGAGACGGTTATTTGAGTACCTTGTCAACGCTGTCACCACCAGATCCCGCTCCCGGCGCCCCAGGCTGGGCTCCAGTAGGAGCTCCTCAATCTAAGTGTCTTGGAGAACCCTAGGGAGTCTCTACGAAGGAGTACGAAGAAGGGACCGTGCCCACTACAGACTAAAACTGGCCTCTGAATCGCCTCCCTGGAGATTCGGCCCAGTGGCTCCCAGGAGTCGGTAGGGGGAAGAACGTTTCCCCGTTGCGGTGGAAGAAGTCTGCGGGCCAGCCAGGGGCTCCATCCGGGGACAAGGCCTCGACCGGGGCCCGCCGGAAGCCCACAGCCCAGACGCGGCCGACCCACTGCTCAGCGGGACACACCTTGGGCGTTGCCCCAGAACGCCGCTTCGACACGAACTTTTCTGCCGAGTGCAGGCCGGGCGCTTTTGGGCGCAGCACGCAGGAACCGGAAGTCAATGGAGGAAGACCGGACCTACCGATTCAGTTTGGAGATGGGAGTCCCTAGCCTCTTCCTGGAGGGAGGTAGGGTGCTTGGAATACGGGGTTAATTTCGGGTCTGTCATTAGCCTCTGACCCTAGAGGCTAATGAAATACCACTGGAGGTATTCTGGAGGAACCTGGAGTGTTTCCTTCATGTCCCTCATGTCCTAGAGTGTTTCCTTCTTCATGTCCCATGTTCAGGTCCCTCTCCTGGAGCCCCAGCCTAGCTGACGGGGCGGTTTTTGGAACATTTGTGCTTCTCTGACCTCGGGGTCCGCAGGTAGCTCCTCGAAGTGGGCGGATGGTTCAGATTCTCACAGCTACTTGCTTATCTCTGGCCGCATTACTTTCCTGTGTCTGCGATGTTAGAGTGTCTTCCCACCGGTTTTACAAAGTTATTCATTGTATGGTCTTTGTTTTGTTTTGTTTTTAAAATATAGACGGGGGTTTCACCATGTTGGCCAGGATGGTTTCGAACTCCTGACCTCAGGTCATCCGCCCACGTCGGCCTCCCAAAGTGCTGGGATTACAGGCGTGAGCCACTGCACCCGGCCTGTATGGCGTTTCTTATGCTTGCAAAAACGTCATGATAGAAATCTTAAAGTGTACGGAAGAATATAAAACTGCCTTTAAATCTATTACTTAGCTGAAACATTTATTAAAAACGTATAAAATTTAATTTTATTTGGTTCCACCAGATGAGATACTAGTGAAAATGGAAGTGAAGACAAACCTTAACAGGAAATAGTACTTACCAAAAGATCGCTCTATATCAAAAATATCAAAAACGTTAAGCAGTTGAAATAATTATTTCTGCGAGGTGGCTCTCGCCTGTAATCCTAGCACTTTGGGAGGCCGAGGCAGGTGGATCATGAGATCAGGAGTTCAAGACCAGCCTAGCCAATATAATGAAACCCTGTTTCTACTAAAAATACAAAAAAAATTAGCTGGGTGTGGCGGCGAGTTCCTGTAGCCCCAGCTGCTCGGGAGGCTGAGGTTACAATGAGCGGAGATCATGCCACTGCACTCCAGCCTGGGCAACAGAGCAAGACTCTGTCTCAAAAACAAATATTTCAACTACTTGCTTCCTGATGAGTGCAAAATACAATTTTCTAGGCAGTAAAACTTAGGTCTGATCCATAAAAATCAGAAGACATTTCTCCTGACTTGAAAACAAAAGTCCTATTTAAAACTCTACATAAAATAGTTTAAAAACGAATGCTCTTTTAAAGATTATTCTCTAGGACAATTTAATATTGTCCTCTAGTAGTTCTTAAATTCCAGGAAAGTATTTGTGACTTTGCAAAGCATCTAGTCAAGTTTGCAACTAACACTAAAGGAAGTAGGACATCCCATCTTATATTTTACTAAATTTTCCTTTTAGGGAGGTGGAGATGCTTTCTGGCCCCATTGAGGTCATCCCTGTCCCAGGCCTTACATAATTCCTGCTGTCGGAAAAAATTCACTACACCTAAGAAAATTATTTCTGATGTTACTTTTTGTGATGAAAATGCAAAAGAGCCTGAAAATGCAGTTGACAAGCGCTTCTCTTCAGAACAGCAGGCTTCCATCTTGCATGTGTTGAATACAGCATCTACTGAAGAACTTGAAGCTTTCAGATTGCTTCGTGGAAGAAGGTCCATCAATATCATAAAGCACAGAGAAAACTTTGGGCCATTTCAGAATTTGGAGAGTTTAATGAATGTGCCCTTGTTTCAGTATAAAAGTACAGTTCAAGTTTGTAACTCCATACTTTGTTCAAAGACTGGAGGGGATAAAAGAAAGTTACCAGAAAACCGGTTCTTGAGAAAACTCCTCAAACCAGACATAGAAAGAGAAAGACTTAAGGTATATTCTTCATGTCTGCTTTACTGCCTAATATTTGAGAACCTACTCTGGAAAGCACTCTTCTGGGCATTGGGAAGGTTCTTCAGATTTAGTTGGCAAGTATATGATTACTGCCAAATAGTGAGATATACAGATAGTGAATTGGCAGTTGAGACGAGAAAACAGTGGGCTGTGACTGTTGTGGAAAGTTTACTAGAACTCAATTTGGATCTTAAAGGAGAGATCTTTTGGCTGGAAGAGGAAGTAATTCTAGGTAGAAAGAACAGTTGATGTTGAGAAGTAGGTCTATGCAAGGCTTATTTAAGAGGAATGTCATAGAGATACTAGGTTGTGTCTAAAGGTGATGTTAGGATTAATGAGACATTAAGGAGCCAAGATGGGTTATGGCCAGGGAGTGACTTTAGAACATTATACCAGTCTTTCTGGCAGGATTTAAAATTATTTTATGTTCCTTTCCTCTAAAAACGATTCTATCTTGAATCACACATCTATAGGTAAGATTAAAAAAAGAAAAACAATCTAGGGCTGGACTCACGCCTGTAATCCTAGCACTTTGGGAGGCCAAGGTGGGCAGATCACGAGGTCAAGAGATTTAGACCATCCTGGCCAATATGGTGAAACCCATCTCTACTAAAAATACAAAAATTAGCTGGGCGTGGTGGCATGCACCTGTAGTCTCAGCTATTCAGGAGGCTGAGGCAGGAGAATCACTTGAACCCAGGAGACGGAGGTTGCAGTGAGCTGAGATCATGCCACAGCACTCCAGCCTGGATAACAGAGTGAGACTCTGTCTCAGAAAAAAAGAAAAAGATACAGCACATATACACAGAACACTGCACAGTTTCAGAGGACTGGCAGATTCAAGTCCACTCATCGACTCCAGGTAGAACTGCTGCAGTTGATCTGGAACATATTTCAACCAAATTTTTCAGGGAGGATTCTCATCCAAATTCATGGCCAAAACTGTTTATACCCAGATTATAGTGGAGTTGCATCTTATTTAGGGGGCTAGATTCTAAAGTCAGTTTGTATGGAGAGATAAGTCATGCAGTAAAATCCTTTAAGAAAAAAATTGGTTGCTAATGCAGTATAGCTAATCTGGAGGGGAAAAAAAATTTTTTTTAATTTGGTTGTCCATGAAGTACTGTGTGTAGTCCCTCAGTAATGCTTATGTACACTAAAGCTTGAGAGTCACAGAGCTAAAGAAAAGAACCAAAAGGAAGTCTGTATTTTGGGCATCTAAACTATTTTGTCATAAGATTTTATCCAGTCCTTAGCAATGAAAGGGAGATGGTTATAGAACTAATTGTTCCTGTTTATTTGCCTCAGTATCTATAGAACATAGTAGTTTGTAAATATATCTAAGTGAGCCATGTTGGAGAAAGGTGATATAGCATGGTACTCCATCATCAGCCCAGACCTGATAGGGAGCAAAATGTATGTATTCAATTACTTGTATATCTCCCTTTTGAAGCCCTACAGGCAACCCAAACTTAATACATTAAAAACAAACCAAAACATTTCTTCCTGCCTTCTCTAGGTCACGTGACTCCTATCTTCATCAGGATTAATGATGCCATTCAGTCACTGATACAAAACTGGAATTATCCTAGACTCCTCTTTCAACCTTTGTATTAATTCTGCTCCCACTATCTGTTTCTTTTCCTTCTGTCATTGTCTTCAATTCTTAATACTTTCTCATGTCTAACAGGTACCTAACAGATCCCTATCGTTAGTCTAGTTCCCTCCAGCCCATCTTTTACACCATCAGTGATTTTTCTGAAATGTTAATCTTATGTTATTCCTTAAAATTCTGGGGTTTTTTAGTGGCACCTGTAGCCCTCAGGATAAAGCAAGTTACTTACCTTTACAGACACCTGCCTGGTCCTCTGCCTTTTTCCCAGTCTTTATTCCACTGCCATGGTGTGAGATGTCAAGCAGCCTATCTTTCCAGACATGTGGGTGAAATAACTTCCCGTTCTCTTAGTCCTCCAATAAACCTTCCCTAACTAATTCTCCTCTCTACAAGTTTTATGATGGCATTTCTAATAACGTACAGTTACGTTTGTTGTTTCCTTGTATCTAGTACAAACCCTGGCTACACTTGAGCATTTGAATGCCTACTTTGGGCTAGGTGCTGAGAATGAGTATAGGTTCTTTATCTATAAACTGACTGCTGCTGGTTACCTTTTAATAATAATTACTCCTTAATGGCTCATGCCTGAAATCCCACCACTGTGGGAGGCCAAGGCAAGTGATCACTTGAGGTCAGAACTTTGAGACCAGCCTGCCAACATGGTGAAACCCCATCTCTACTAAATATACAGTTAGCTGGACATGGTGGCGCGTGCTTGTAATCCCAGCTACTCCGAAGTCTCAGGCAGAAGGATCATTTGAATCTGGGAAGTGGATGTTGCAGTGAGCTGAGATTCCACCACTGCACTCCAGCCTGGGTGACAGAGTGAGACGCCATCTTGAACAAACAGAATAATAATTACTCCTGCATTTCTTTAATAATTCTCAATTAATAGACTATAAATAAGCATATATTACAAAAACTAGTCATTCTGAATTTGTAGGTTAAGTTTTTATCTGTAAAATCTTTACACTTCTAATTAAACGAGACTTTTCTTTTAGGCAGCTGATAGTATCGTATCTATTGTTTTTGGTACTCGAAGAATTGCCTGGGCTCACCTTGATCGTAAATTGACAGTGCTGGACTGGCAGCAAAGTGATCGTTGGAAATTAATGAAGGAAACTACATACTCATCATCCATCTATTTAGAAGAGGTAAGGCAGTTGCACCTCTGGATTCCTACCTGCTAGAGCTGCTTGTGTAGTTTAATCTTCTGGTCCCACAAGGAATGTAATAAAACAGTAAAGATGGGTTTTCTTCTGTTCCTATTATGTTTTCTATCACCTTTGATTTTTAAGAATTCAAGCTTTAGTTAGTTCAAGAAATGCCTTATGCTTGAAGCCAGGAGGTGGAGGTTGCAGTGAGCAGAGATCACGCTACTGCACTCCAGCCTGGTGCCTGGTGAAAGAGTGAGACTATGTCTCAAAAAAGAAAAAAAGAGAGAGAAAGAAATCCTTATGTATCAAAGGCAAGCACTGAGAAAATCAATGGTATTCCATTCTAAATGTTATAGAATATTATCAGTCTTTTATTTATAAAGCTTATTTCTCAAAATGCCATCACATTGTCTCATTTGAATTTTCAAAACCTTGTGAAATAGGCAGGAATGATCACCTGGATTATACATATAAAATTTGTGGTTTAGTCAAGCATTGGATGTAATTAGTTGCAGAGGTGATTGATTCCTGCCTAGTTATTCTAACCCTGTGCTGTATCCCAGAAAATTTTTGTAGGTTAATAAAACAATTGTAAGTTGTCTAATCTTAAAGCCAATACAGATTTTAGAAATTATGAAGTCCATTATACAGATCAAGAAACTGGTACGTAGGAGGACTAAACAGTTTAGCTTAGCTATTGTTCTGACAGAACCATGAACAGAACCAGACTGCTCATAAATGCCTTTTTAATCATTTCAGAATTGTCAGTAGCAATATAGTATAAGTTAACTAAGTGGGACAGAGAGGGGTCCAAACATAAAATGTAATGAATTATTTCTGCTCCTTTATTTTGTCTTTTTTTAAAAAGATTTCTTCGATCATTTCAAAGATGCCTAAAGCAGATTTCTATGTTCTGGAAAAAAGAGCACTTTCCATTCAGAACTCATCTCTGTTTCCTATACTGTTACATTTTCAAATCGTGGAAGCCATGCTGTATGCCTTATTAAATAAAACTTTTGCCCAGGATGGGCAGCACCAGGTGCTGAGCATGAATAGAAACGCAGTGGGGAAGCATTTTGAACTGATGATTGGTGACTTCAGGACTAGTGGAAAAGAACTAGTGAAGCAGTTCCTCTCCGATTCTGTACTGAAGGCGGATCCTCGGGTGTTCTTCCCATCAGAAAAAATAGTCCACTACAGACAGATGTTTTTATCTAGTGAATCACGAAGAGTAGAAGAGCTTTATGATTCATTATTACAAGCTGTTGCCTTCTATGAATTAGCAGTGTTTGACTCTGAGCCTTAGAATTCTGAGGTTAATGTGCTAAAGTCATAGTCATATTAATGTATAATTAATAGCTCTAATGTAAAACTGTTTTGAACATCCATGTTACTGGAAAAGAAAATATTTTGAGTGTATTTTAGATGTTTAAATTCTGATTTTCTGCTACTAAATGGTCTACACAATAAGCCAAGACCAAATCAATAAACATTTTATAAGATTCTGTGCCTTTCAGGTTTATGTGTTAAAAAGTTAGGTGGGGCTGGGTGCAGTGGCTTATGCCTATAATCCCAGCACTCTGGGAGGCTGAGGCAGGATCGCTTGTGCCCAGGAGCTCGAGAGCAGCCTGGGCAACATAGCAAGACCACATAATATTTTTTAAATTTTCATTAAAAAAAGAAACAGTAAGATGCCAAATAGACAAAACAAGAAACAAACAAATCTCCCTTAAAAGGCAACTACTATCTATACTAAGCATTTGCATGATCATATTGTTAATATAGAGAATAATGATTTTCCTAGGTGGTGCTTATTATGAAAATAAAGATAACTGATAACACAGCTATAGAATCCTCCTCTCTTATTCTCTAAGTAGAATGTGGTTTGCCACACTGCCTCCAAAAGCTGATTTTCTTTTTTTGAGACAGGGTCTCACTCTCACCCAAGCTAGAGTGCAGTGATACAATCACAGTTCACTGCAGCACCTCCTGGGCTCAAGCAATCCTCCTGCCTCTATCTCTTGAATAGCTAGGACTAAAGGCACATGTCACCATACCCAGCTGATTTATTTTTTGTAGAGATGAGGGTCTCACCTTGTTGCCCAGGCTGGGTTCAAATTCTTGGCCTTAAGCAATCCTCCTGCCTCAGCCTCCGAAAGCACCGGGATTACTGGCGTGAGCCACCATACCCGGCCCCAAAAGGTGACTTTCATCAACTCAAATCTATTAGCCAAAAACAAACAAGTTTTGTCTAATAGGCTCTTTTCTTTTTTCTTTTGAGACCTAGTCTCTGTTGCCCAGGCTGAAGTGCAGTGATGCAATCTCGGCTCACTGCAACCTCCGCCTACCAGGTTCAAGCAATTCTTCTGCCTCAGCCTCCTGAGTAGCTGGGACTTCAGGTGTGCGCCACCACACCTAGCTGATTTTTCTATTTTTAGTAGAGATGGGGTTTCACCATAGTGGCCAGGCTAGTCTCAAACTCCTGACTTCACAATCCTCCCACCTTGGCCTCCCCAAAGTGCTGGGATTACAGGCATGAGCCACCACGCCCAGCAGGCTCATTTTTAAACTTTGTAATATTTTAACTTGACAGACCGTCTATTGATGTCCATTTTACCACTGTCTACCTTAGTTGAGGCCCTCAATGTATCTTCTTTATGAACCTAAGCCTCTTGAGTCTCTTTTTTTGAGACAGAGTCTCACTCTGTCATCAGGCTGGAGTGCAGTGGCACTACCTAGACTCACTGCAACCTCCGCCTCCCAGGTTCAAATTATTCTTCTGCCTCAGCCTCCCAAGTCGTTGGGACTACAAGTATGTACCACCACACCAAGCTAATTTTAGTATTTTTAGTAGAGACAGGGTTTTACCATGTTGGCCAGAATGGTCTCTATCATATTGACCTCATGATCCATCCGCCTGGGCCTCCCAAAGTGCTGGGATTACAGGTGTGAGCCACTGTAATTTTCTTTGGTGTCAAATTATTAAATCTCAGTGGCACCTGCCTGTAGTACCAGCTACTTGGGAGGCTGAGAGGGGAGGATCACTTGAGCCCAGGAGTTTGAAGTCAGCCTGGGCAACATAGGAAGGCCCCATCTCTTACCAAAAAAAAAAAGTATTAAATATTTTCTATAACATGAATATTTTCTATAATCAAAAAGTGAAATATACTTGTTCAAAAATATTTCAAATAATCTGAAACATAAAACAAGAAGTGGAAGTCCTCCCTTCTCTAGCACCTCCAACTCCCTAGAGTTGGTATACACTCTTGACCTGTTGCCATGCACAAATAAAGTCTCTCCACATTTACATATGTCATTGTGTACCTAAACATCTCCACTTTGGAAATGCAGATACCTCAAACTATCCATGTCCAAAAAGCAAATCATTCTCCTTCCATCCAAACCATCTCCTTTGCCGTTGTTTTCTATTTTGATAAATAGTTTCTCAAATTACCTAGTTGTTCATAACAAACATGGCATTATCACAAAAGTGAATCTAAATCTTACAGGAATTTACCATCATTAACAATGAAAAGGCTGGGTGCAGTGGCTCACACCCATAATCCCAATGCTTTGGGAGGCCAAGGAAGGAGGATCACTTGAGCTCAGAAGTTTGAAGCTATGGTAAACTATGATTGTGCCACTGTACTCCAGCCTGGGCAACAAGAGTGAGACATCTTTAAAAAAAAAAAAAAAGATAAAGATTTTTTCCCTGAATTATTATAAACCTAAAAATAAATAAAATACTAAATGTGTCCTTATAGGGAGGAAAATACTCCCATTATTTTTTTTAAGAGGGGAAAAAAAATAGATCTGTATTTAAAAGTATTTTAAAAAATACTTCAGGCTGGGCATGGTGGCTCACGCCTGTAATCTCAGCACTTTGGGAGGCTGAGGTGGGCAGATCACCTGATGTTGGGAGTTAAGACCAGCCTGACCAACATGGAGAAACCCTATCTCTCCTAAAAATAAAAAAATTAGCCAGACATCGTGGCTCCTACCTGCCTATAATCACAGCTACTCAGGAGGCTGAGGCAGGAGAACTGCTTGAACCCAGGAGGTGGAGGTTGCGGTGAGCCGAGATTGCACCATTGCACTTTAGCCTGGGCTCCATCTCAAAAAACAAACAAAAAGAACTTCAGAAGATCTTAATTCTCTCTTCTGTATAGGGATGAAATCTTTAAGTTATATCCTATATTCAAACCTATACAATGTATATATTTACCAAGATGATTACATCTGAACTTTTAAAAATATTTTATAAAGCCTTTAGTTTTAACTTTTAATTAGCTCAATATACTAATTAATACAAGAAAAGGTAAACTGAATAAGTAAGAGGTAAAAACATCTGTCTTCATACACATTTATAAACAGGTATGCATCTATACTGTTCAAAACTATACAATATAGGCTGGGCACAGTGGCTCACATCTGTAATCCCAGCATTTTGGGAGGCTGAGGCAGATTGATCACTTGAGGTCAGGAGTTCAAGACCAGCCTGGCCAACATAGTGAAACCTTATCTCTACTAAAAAAATATAAAAATTAGCTGGACATGGTGGTGCGTGACTGTAATCCCAGCTACTCAGGAGGCTGAGGCAGGAGAATCACTTGAACCCAGGAGGTAGAGGTTGCAGTGAGCCGGTATCAGGCCACTGCACTCCAGCCTGGGTGACAGAGCAAGAGTTCTTCTCAAAAAAAAAAAAACACTGTACAATATTAGGATCCTTAACTTCTGTGTTAAAAATATAATTCACCAGATAATGTCTTTGTTTTATTTATTACGATTTTTTTTTTTGAAAAGTCAGTCAAATTTAGCAGTGGGGGTTGTATACCAACTTTAGTGACACTAATGTTAGTAAGTTTTGATAACCCACTACCACTGGACCAGCCAAGATAATGTATCTGAATATTAAACTAATATATAATAGAAACACTTGAAATAGAGTTCATCTTAATGAACTCTACCTTTCAGAAACAGTTTGCTCACATACAAAAAATACTCCAACAAAGCTAAGTCAGATAATACAAAAAAATTCAGAAAAAAAATTACCACAATCATATATACAATTTGTAACTCAAATATTTTAAATATTTGCATACCAATAAAAAATATACAAATTGTTTAAAATGTACATTGAGAAATAAACTTTTCCATGAAGATCCACATAATATAAAAATGTATCTTAAGAACCACATAATAATCTATACAAAGCATTGTTAGTATGGAACATTAAGGGAAGTCAGCTGCCAAAGTATTCACAATCTCTTTTGGAATGTCAAGATGAATTCCTTCAAAATAGTGCAGGAATCTGTCAAAATTACAAAGAAAAATACAATTTAATAATATTTTCATCTTATGAAAATATGTATGAATCTTTAAAAAGCTATCTAAAATGTTGTTTTTAATACAGCCTTTACCTTCTTTTACTTTTTCCTTGTTCTTTTAGCTTCTCAGTCTTACAGATGTTTCGCAGGGTTGGCAGGTATTCGATTATACTAGCTTGTCTATTTCCCACATAGAGAAGAGATCGACTAGAAAATACACTTTTAATGACTGCTATCCTCTTCCAAGCATTGCTGTAAAAGTAATACATTGCTTTTAATTTTTAATGCCCCATACAAATGCAGTAATCCCAAGCACAACCAGTTTAGTTTCCTTGCCTCTGGCCTAGACCAGATGACATTTCCAGATTAATTTCCTGTCAACACATCAATCATTCCCATGCTGAAAAATCTCAGTAACTATCTGCTATCTATCACAGCAAGACCAAATTTCTTCCTGTGTCATTCAAGCATTACCCAGATCCACCCAAATCACTCATTATTTCTCTTCCCAACAATCAACCTGGTCTCCTTAACTGTCTCATTAGAAGCTACATTATTAATGATGACGGCTTACCATAATCAATAGTACAGCATTTTTAAATTAAGAAAAAAATTATTTCCCCTTTACCATTTATTGCTAAAGAATAAAAAGTAAAGGAAGTAAGACTTACTCTAAGTTAGCTGCTGATTGACTAAAGTATACATTATTGCGCTTTTGTGAAACATAAAAAGTAAGATCGTTGGTTGGATCTTTTCCCAATTTCTTGCAAGAATTCAAGGTTTCCAATGCTTTTGAAATAGTAGAAGAACATTTAGTAAAGCTGAGAGCTTCTGCAGCTGCCTTTAATTCTCCAGAGCTTTGAGAAGGCCATCCATCATTACTCTCAAGACTAAACTCATCACAAAGTCCGCTTTTAACCTTTCCATTTGTCCAGCTAAAGTCATTTCTACCGTATTCCTTCTGTTCCCTTACATCAGTTAAAAGGGCATCTAAGAAGGACATATTATCCATGAATTCAGAGAGAGAATTTAAACAATGAGAAACAAGGAGAGAACTTTTTTTTCCTGCAGGTGTTCTGGGAGGACAAGAAATAGATTTCTTTGTCTCTGGATTGCTTCCTTTGTCTCTGGCTTTGTTTTCTTCTGAATTTGAGGAAGACGACACAGGGGACAGGCTAATAAATTCATCAGGAAAGGCCAAGTCAGTGTCGAATAAGTCACTATCATCTAATATTACCAATTTTTTCTTTTGTTTCTTTTTCTTTGACTTTTTCAATGACTGTTCTCTTTCAGAATGTTTCCTACCAAGACATTTCATACTTTTTGTTGCTCCACTAGTATCCACAGTTACTGATGAGCCACAAAGGTTTTTTGTTTCTGGAATGATATCAACTGGTAATGGCAGAATAAACTCAAGATTATTATATAAAAAATCTATATTCCGCATTTGGAATTCAGTAAGAAGCTGGATGAGTTTATGCCATTCTTCCTTCGTTGTGATTTTGTGCTGAAAAAGAATTTTGAGTAAAGGAAGTTACAGCAGAACAGTGTTTGAACACTTTTCTACCCATATGAATACAGTGTTATGCTTATTCTAACTTCAAAGTACTGAGACACTACCCGTCATAATTTTATCTATCTATATTTAATACATCAAATAGTACTGTAAGTCTAACAATTAAATTTAGACTGTTAATTTGGAGAATTCTCTATTTATTTAGTATATACTCCAATTATAATTAGAAGCTCATGTATGCTGGGCACGATGGCTCATGCCTGTAATCCCAGCACTTTGGGAGACCAAGGTGGGTGGATCATGAGGTCAGGAGTTTAAGACTCATCCTGACCAAGACGGTGAAACGCCGCCTCTACCAAAAATACAGAAATTAGTCAGGCATGGTGGTGGGCACCTGTAATCCCAGCTACTTGGGAGGCTGAGGCACAGAACTGCTTGAACCCGGGAGGCGGAGGTTGCAGTGAGCTGAGATGGCGCCACTGCACTCCGGCCTGGGCAACAGAGCGAGACTCCGTCTCAAAAAAAAAAAAAAGAAGAAGAAGCAGCTCATTTATTTAAAACTACTTCTCTGAAATAATCTATCTAAAAATTTTTTTTTTTTTTTTTTTTTTTTTAAAGACGGGGTTTCACCATGTTGGTCAGGCTGATCTTGAACTCCTGACCTCAGGTGATCCACCTGCCTTGGCCTCCAAAGTGCTTGGATTACAGGCATGAGCCACTGCACTCGGCCCTGAAAAATTTTCTAAATTCTATTCTAAATCCTGTAATATGCAGTCAGAGCAATGCCTATGTACCATTTGTCAAAGTGGTAGAAAGCGTTAAAATTAGAGATTGCTTATACAAATTAGAGGCATATTTAAGTTAAACTTGAGATTCAAAAGGTAGGAATCTAGTGTTGGGAATATGAAAAGGAATATAAATCCAAAATTGCAAGATAGAGATGTTGAAAATACCCTTAAAAATGAAAATAAGTCTTCAGATGGGGAAAAAATGTTCCTAAGGCCAAATAAGGTCTCAGCACAGCCACTGTCACATTTCGGAAGGTCTGCACGTTTCCTTTTAGTATTTTTAGGGTGAATTTTGTTATCAAGGCCATCTTCAGAGCAAACTAGTTGTACATTTCTGCTATTTCCTCCTACAAAATAAAAGAAAATCTTAGCTATATATATATATATATTAAACAAATTGTATCAAACAATTATTTAAAGCCTGAGATCCTTTGACATCTTCTGAATCAATACACCCATTTTCTTCTTCTCCACATATGTGTTTAATTCATTAAGAGTACAATATAACATTCATTCATTCATTCATTCATTTGACAGAGTATCACTCTGTCACCCAGGCTGGAGTGCAGTGGTGGGATTTCAGCTCACTACAACCTCCACATCCTGGGTTCAAGCGATTTCCTGCGTTAGACTCCCAAGTAGCTGGATTACAGGTACACGCCACCACACCTTTTTGTAATTTTAGTAGAGACAGGGTTTCACCATGTTGGTCAGGCTGGTCTTGAAATCCTGATCTCAAGTGAGGCCACGGCGAGCAGGTCACTTGAGGTTGAGTTTCAGACCAGCCTAGCCAAGGTGGTAAAACCTCGTCTCTACTCAAAATGCAAAAATTAGCCAGGTGTGGTGGCGCACACCTGTAGTCCCAGCTACCAGGGAGGCTGAGGCTGGCGAATAGCTTCAACCTGGAAGGCAGAGGTTGCAGTGAGTTGAGATCATGCCACGGTACTCCAGCCTGTGCAACAGAGCGAGACTCTGACTGGGGAAAAAATAATAACTTCAGCTGGGCTCAATGGCTCACACCTATAATCCCAGCACTTTGGGAGGCCAAGGTGGGTGGATCACCTGAGGTCAGGATTTCAAATCTGGCCTGGCCAACATGGCAAAACCCCATCTCTACTAAAAATACAAAAAATTAGCTGGGTGTGATTGTGCACGCCTGTAATCCCAGCTACTAGGGAGGCTGAGGCAGGAGAATCACTTGAACCCAGGAGGCAGAGGCTGCAGTGAGCCGAGATCACACCACTGTACTCTAGCCTGGGCAACAGAGCAAGGCTCCATCTCAAAAAATAGTAGTAATACTAATAATTTCAAAGTCCTAAATAAAAGATTCACAATTTCACCACTAAGGATGGAAGTGCAAATTCGAAATACGATACTGTACATATTTCAATTTTTAAATTGGCAAAATTAAAAGAATGATAATCTAGTTCTGTCAGCAGTACAGATAAAAAACCATCATATACTATGCACGGGAGCATAAGTTGGTACAATTATTGTCAGAGGGCAGACTGACAACAACTATCAAAATGTAAAGTGTAGACAGCCTTTGTGACCCAGCAGTCATAATTCTAGAATTCTCTCCATCAGAATTACTGACATATTCAAGGATATATGTATAAAGATATTCAATGTATTTTAATCACAATTGAAGATAATTTAAATGCCTATAAGTAATGGTTAATTAAATTATGTTACATCCATTCTATTCTGTAGAAAAGCATGCAGCTGTGAAAAACTGGGATAGAACCGTATGTGCTGACAATAAACTTAAAAATAACTGTCTAACAACATATATAATACTGGTTAATTTTGCTAAGTAAGTATGTATCTGCATTTTATATGCATAAAGGTCTAACAGTGGCTACTTTTAAGAAGCAGGGGACTATTGTTTTACTTTATGTATCTGTGGTTTTTTTTTTTTTTTTTCAAAAGCAGGAATGAAATTTATATTAAAAAAGATATTTTTAAGAAGAGAACCTATACTATACTTATTTCCTTCCTGTCTTTTAAAGTTCTTGCTGTAACAATTTATACCCAGTGGAATATCAAAGTTATTAACTAATTTGTTACACCAGGATATTTTCCATGTGTTATGCATTATATTTACTTTTGAGAAATGGTTAAAGCTATGAGCTTACACTGAATAGAATATATAGGAGTATCTACTTTGAAAAATAATAATATGAAGCTGGGTGAGGTGGCTCATGCCTGTAATCCCAGCACTTTGGGAGGCTGAAGCAGGTGGATCACTTGAGCCCAGAAGTTCAATTAACAGGCTGGACAACATAGTGAAACCCCAGTCTCTACAAAAAAATACAAAAATTAGTCAGGCATGGTGGTGCATGCCCTGTGGTCCCAACTACTCCGGAGGCTCGAAGATGGCTTGAGCCCAGGAGATTGAGGCTGCAGTGAGCCATGACTGCACCGCCAGTGCACTCCAGCCTGGGCAATAGAGTAAGACACTGTCTCAAAAAAAAAAGAATATGTTAAAATGTTAAATTAATTAAAGGAAAAAAACTGATAAGGAATTAATATTACATAATTTCACCTTGGTTTCCTTGAAATATTTGTGTATTTACCAAAGTAGGATCTGTAACTAGAGAACTGTGACTATGGAACATGGAAACCACAAACTAAAACCTCTTCAGGCAAGCAACCATGACCTGGCATGGAGAAGGTACTCAAAAGTGTCTGTGACTTGAATTAGGTAATAAATGATGACTGAAAAACTAAAATAGAGCATTTCTGAAATAAAATTTCCCAGGAAAGACAGAATTTAAAAACTCCTGAAGCTAAAAGTGATTGTACATTACAGTCACATAAAAGGAATACTATATATATATATATATATATATATATATATATATATACACATACACACACACTCATGTAGAAAAATCAATGTTTTTAAGGCCGGGCATGGTGGCTCATGCCTGTAATCCAAGCACTTTGGAGGCCAAGGTAGGCAGATTACCTGAGGTCAGGAGTTCAAGACCAGCCTGACCAATATGATGAAACCCCGTCTTTTAAAAATAAAAAGAAAAATAAAAAAAGAAAAATCAATGTTTTTAGCAAGTGAAAAAATTGTTAAATAATAATTATAGTATTATTTGTTTATAAGAAACCATATGCTAATAAATGTGTAAGTAACAGTTTGAAAAATTAACAGTCTAATTTCTGGGGAGGAAGATGGACACAGTGGCCTACTGAGGAAGCTAGGACACGAGGATCACTTGAGCCCAGGAGTTCAGGGCTATCCTATACTATGATCCCGCCCATGAACAGTCACTGTACTCCAGGCTGGGCAAAATATCGAGACCCCACCTCAAAAAAGAAAAAAGAAAAACTTTTGAAGAGGAAAGGGGAATAGGGTGGGAGTTTGTGTGTGTTTATTTTATGTATTTATTTATTTGAGGCAGAGTCTCGCTCTGTTGCCCAGGCTGGAGAGCAGTAGCACGATCTCGGTTCACTGTAGCCTCCATCTGCAGGGTTCAAGCAACTCTCCTGCTTCAGTCTCCTGAGTAGCTGGGACTACAGGTGTGTGCTGCCACGCCCAGCTGATTTTTGTATTTTTAGTAGAGACAGGGTTTCACCATGTTGTCCAGGATAGTCTTAATCTCCTAACCTCGTGATCCACCCACCTCGACCTCCCAAAGTGCTGGAATTACAGGCGTGACCTACTGCACTTGGCCTGTATGTGTTTTTTTAAATTAAACAATGAGATCATCTTAAAAGCACAACTACAAAATGAAAAGTAACTTAAAGATTATCTAGTTCAAATCTCTCATTTTTGAGGTGAAGAAACAAGCTCAAAAAGTAAAGTGAATTTTGGAGCTTACCTATTAATTGTAAAGAGTAGCATAGCCAGGGAAAAAATCCAGCTTTCTAGGTCCAGTTAAATTCTATTTACTCACATTTGGTGTTTACAAATTTTTTTTTTTTTTGAGTCAGAATCTCATTCTGTCACCCAGGCTGGAGTGCAGTGGCATGGTCTTGGCTCACTGCAGCCTCAATCTCCCATGTTCTAGTGATCTTCCCATCTCCACCTCCTGAGTAGCCAGGACCACAGGCACGCATCACCATGTCCAGCCAATTTTTTGTAGAGATGGGTTTTGCCATGTTGCCCAGGCTGGTCTCAAACTCCTGAGCTCAAGCGATCCATCCTACTTGGCCTCCCAAAGTGTTGGGATTACAGTTGTGAGTTACTGTTCCAGGCCGAAACATTTTATGAACAAAGTTAACATATGCATATTTATTTTGAAGATTAACATAACAAGATGCTTAAATTTTTTTTTTTTTAAGATGTGGGGTATTGCTCTATTGTCTAGGCTGGAGTGCAGTGGTACAATCATAGCTCACTACAGCCTCAAACCCTGGGATCATGTGATCCCCCTACCTTAGCCTCCTGAGTAGCCTGCATTACAGGCACACTCCACCATGCCCGGCTAATCAAAACAATTTTTTTTTTGTAGAGATGGGGGTCTTACTTTCTTGCCCAGGCTGGTTTTGAACTCCTGGCTTCAAGTGATCCTTCTGCCTTGGCCTCCCATAAATTTTCATAAACACAGGGGTCTCACTATGTTGCACAGACTGATCTGGACCTCTTGGCCTCAAGAGATACTCCCACCTCACTCTCCCCAAGTGTTGGAATTATAGGCATGAGCCACTGCACCCAGTCATAGCACAGATTTTTAAACAGGGTCCCATAATAGAAATTTATTTAATAACAAATCAACTTACGATAAAGGGTTAATGGTCTTTCTTCCAAAAATCCGCCTCCACTTCTAATCCAGAAATGTAAGTAAAGGATACTTTTTCTGATATCACAATTATTTGCAGCTAACAAGGTTACAAAGTCTTTTACATCAGTTCTAAAATTCTCAGTTAAGCAAATCATTTGTAGGTAGCTGGCAACATTTAGCTTCAAAACAGAGAGAAATGTGGTTAACTGTTAAGTTTAAAGAAATACAGCAAATAGTATTTAAAGTGAGAGAAATTTTGCTAAAATTCACATTATCTTAAATGCTCTTCTTAAGGATGAAACTGCTTTTAAAAATATAAGGGAGGCCGGGCACGGTGGCTCAAGCCTGTAATCCCAGCACTTTGGGAGGCCGAGCCGGGTGGATCACGAGGTCAACAGATCGAGACCATCCTGGTCAACATGGTGAAACCCCGTCTCTACTAAAAATACAAATAATTAGCTGGGCATGGTGGCGCGTGCCTGTAATCCCAGCTACTCAGGAGGCTGAGGCAAGAAAATTGCCTGAGCCCAGGAGGCGGAGGTTGCAGTGAGCTGAGATTGCACCATTGCACTCCAGCCTGGGTAACAAGAGCGAAACTCCGTCTCAAAAAAAAAAAAAATATATATATATATATATAAGGGAATATACTGCTAAATTAAAAGCATATACATATATTTCTTTTACTAACTGTATCTTGTGCAAGACAGCAAGGAAACTTTTATAGGAGATTCTCCAACCTGAACACTGGAGGCAGTTTTGTAAACCTTGACAAAACCCCTTAGGATTAAGTAACAGTATAGCTTCACAGAATATCTTACAATAAAATTATAAATATGAATATTATAACACTGAAAAGTACATACTTTTTTAAAAACCAGGTTAGAAATTATACTGAGTACATAAAAGTAATTAATTTTTTTTTTTTTTGTAGAGATGCGGGTCTCACTATATTGCCTAGGCTGCTCTCGAACTCTTGGCATCAAGCAATCCTCCTGCCTTAAGCCTCCCAAGGTGCTGGGATTAGGCATGAGTCATTGTACCTGGCAGAGAAATTGAGGGAGGCCAAGGCAAAGGAATCACCTGAGGTCAGTAGTTCAAGACCAGCCTGGCCAACATGGCGATATCAGATCTCTAATCCCAGCTACTCAGGAGGTTGAGACAGGAAAATTGCTTGAACCTGGGAGGCGGAGGTTACAGTGAGCGGAGATTGCACTGTTGCACTCCAGCCTGGGCAACAGAGTGAGACTCTGTCTCAAAAAAAAAAAAAAATCAATTTATCAAAGATTTTCCCACAAAGAAAACTTGTAAATTCACTGATTAATTATATCAAGTACCAAAAAATAAAGAATGTCAATCCTATACAAAGTTTTAGAAAAAAGAGAAGGAAACATTTCTCAACTCATTTTGAGCTTAACCTAATACTTAACCTAAATACTTAAAGCTAACAAAGATAATTCTTAAAAAAAAAAGAAAGTTACAAAGTAGTATTCCTCAAGAAAATAAACATCTAAACTCTTAATAAATTAATCAGAAATCGAATCCATCAATATATAAAGAGAATACATCAATGACCAAGTGGGGTTTATGATTAGAAAATCAGTCAGTCTAATTAGCCATAGGGATAGATAAAAGTAGAAAAATATGATTTCAACACATGCAAAAGAAGCTTTAACAAAATTCAACACCCACTCTCATAAAAATTCTAAGAAAATTGGAATAAAAGGAATTTCCTTAATCTGATAAAAAAGAAGGTATGAAGAACCTATAGCTAACTTTGTATTCAATAGTAAATTAATGAACACTTTCCATCTAAGATCAAGGACCAGCTAAGGATGTCCATTGTTATCACTTCTACCTAACATCATACTGAAGGTCCTAGCCAATAAAATATGGCAACAAAAAGAAGTAAAAGGCAGAAAAAACAAAGGAAAGAAAACTCTCTCTGTTTGCAGATAACATGAGTCAGTAGATAGAAAACCCTAAGAAACTGATAAGCATGGTGGCTCATACCTGTAATCCCAGCACTTTGGGAGGCCAAGGGGGTAGGATCACTTGAGGCTAGGAGTTTCAAGTTACAGTGAGATATGATCACACCATTGCCCTCCAACCTGGGTGACAGAGCCAGACCCTGTCTCTAATAAAAATTTAAGCCGGGCGTGGTGGCTCACGCCTGTAATCCCAGCACTTTGGGAGGCCGAGGCGGGTGGATCACAAGGTCAAGGGATCCAGACCATCCTGGTCAACATGGTGAAACCCCGTCTCTACTAAAAATACAAAAAATTAGCTGGGCATGGTGGCGCGTGCCTGTAGTACCAGCTACTCAAGAGGCTGAGGCAGGAGAATTGCCTGAACCCAGGAGGCGGAGGTTGTGGTGAGCCGAGATCGCACCATTGCAGTCCAGCCTGGGTAACAAGAGCAAAACTCCGTCTCAAAAAAAAAAAGTAAAAATCTAAGAAACCAACAAAATAACTACTATAACTAATAAAAGAATTTAGCAAGGATAAAGGAAAAAAACATCTAGAATGTACAGCAGTACTCTCCAATAGAAATATAATTCAAGGGCCAGGTGTGGAGGCTCAGGTCTGTAATCCCAGCATTTTGGGAGACCACTTGAGTTCAGGAGTTCAAGACCAGCCTGGGCAATATGGTGAAACTGTATCTAATAAAAATACAAAATTTAGCCGGGCGTGGTGGTGTGTCCCTGTAATCCCAGCTACTCCGGAGGCTGAGGCAAGAGAAATGCCTGAACCTGGGAAGTGGAGGTTGCAGTGAGCCGAGATTCTAACACTGCACTCCAGCCTGGGTGATAGAACAAGACTCTATCTCAAAAAAAAAAAAAAAAGAAAGAAAGAAAGAAATATAATGCAAGCAAAAAACTGTAAGCTGGTCGGCGCAGTAGCTCATACCTGTAATAACCAGCACTTTGGGTGGATCACAGGTCAGGAGTTTGAGACCAGCCTGACCAACATGATGGAACCCCATTTCTCCTAAAAATGCAAAAATTAGCTGGGCATGGTGGCGCATGCCTGTAATCCCAGCTACTCAGAAGGTGAGGCAGGAGAATCGCTTGAACCTGGGAAGCAAAGTTTGCAGTAAGCTGAAATCATACCACTGCACTCCAGCTTGGTGGCAGAGCAAGACTCCATCTCAAAAAACTAAAACAAACAAACAAAAACCCTGTAAGCTATCTACACACTCCAAAATAGATTAACATTGAGAATGTTATGCTAAGTGAAAGAAGCCAGTCACGGCCAGGCGCCATGGCTCACACCTGTAATCCAAGCACTTTGGGAGGCTGAGGCTGGTAGATCATGAGGTCAAAAGATCAAGACCATCCCGGCCAACATGATGCAACCCTGTCGCTACTAAAAATACAAAAATTTTTAGTGTTGTTTTAGTGGATGGCACCACTGAACTCCAACCTGGAGTGCAAGACTCCATCCCCACAAAAAAAGCCAGTCACAAAAAGCCAAATCAGTATGATACTACTTATATGAGGTATCTAGAGTAGTCAAATTCATATAAACAAAGTATAATGGTAGTTGCCAGCAGCTACTGGACAGGAGGAAACAGGGAGTTTCATTTAACAAGTACAGAATTTCAGTTTTGCAAGAAAAATGTAAATATACTTAACACTACTCAACTGTACACTGTTATGTGTTCTTTACCAAAAGCAAATTTCTTAATAGAAAAATTTTAAAAACCAAGCCATAAATGTAATTTAAATTTTCTAGGAGCCACATTAAAAAATTAAAGAAACAAGTGAAATTAATTTTACATTTCTTTAAAACAATATATGCAAATATTATCATTGCAAAATATAACCAACAGCAAAATAGTGAGATGTGTTACATTCCTATTTTTTGCACTGAGTCCTCAAAATCTGGTGTTATCCAATCCCAGCACTTTGGGAGGCTAAGGCAGGAGGATTGCTTGAGTCTGGGAATTCAGGACCAGTCTGGGCAATATAGTGATACCCCATCTCTACAAAAAAAATTTTTTAGTTAGCTGAGCGTGGTGGCGTACACTTATGGTCCCAGCTACTTGGGAGGCTGAGGTGGTCCAGCCTTCCTATTTGGAAGGCTGAGGAAGTTACACCTAGGGTCCCAGCTAGCTCAGCCTTCTGAGCTACTCAGAAGGCTAAGTCTTGCTTGAGCCCAGGAGGCAGAGGTTGCAGTGAGCTGAGATTGAGCCACTACACCCCAGTCAGGGAAAGAGAGTGAGACCCTGTCTTAAAAAAAAAAATCTGGTGTTTACATTACACTTTAGCACAAATTAATCCAGACTAGCCACATTTAAAAAATATAAGCTATATTGAGATGTAATTCATACACTATACAATTCACCCACTTAACATGTAAAATTCAATGGTTTTAGTATATTTATAGAGTTTTGTAATCATTATCACTATCTAATTAAAGAGCATTTTCATCATCTCCCAAAGAAACCCCAGACCAATCAGCAGTCACTTCCTATTTCTATCTAGCTCCTCCAGCCTTAGGCAGCCATTAATATACCTTCTGTCTCTATAAATCTGCCTACTCTGGACATTTCATATAATTATTATCAAACAAAATGTGATCTTTTGTTAACTATAGACTATCTGCATTTTAAAAACTCAATAGCTTCATTTGGCTAGTGGAGACCATATTAGCATATAGCTGAAAGCCAACAGTGAAGGTAAAATGAAACAATATACTAGATTAATCGAACAGACTATGGAAAAGGAAGAATGAAGAATTGTCTTGACAAACTGTTCTTTTCCTTTTCTTCCAGAGCCTTGCTCTGTTGTCCAGGCTGGAGTGCTGTGGCGCAATCTCAGCTCACTACAAGCTTCACCTCCCAGGCTCAAGCAATCCTCCTGCCTCAGCCTCCCAAGTAGCTGGGACTACAGGAACATGACACTACACCCAGTTGATTTTTTTCTTTTTACATCCTCAGCCTCTCAAAGTGCTAGGATTACAGGTGTGAGCCACAGCACCCAGCCTCTTTAGATAATTTTTTTTTTTTTTTTTTTTTTTTTTTTGAGGCAGAGTCTTGCTCTGTCACCCAGTCTGGAGTGCAATAGTACAATCACTGCTCACTGCAGCCACAGCCTTGACCTCCTGAGCTCAAGCATTTGTCTCACCTCAGCCTCCTGAGTACCTAGGACTACAGGCATATGCCACCATGCCTGGCTAATTTTTTTGTATTTTTGTGTAGAGACAGGGTTTTGCCATGTTGCCCAAGCTGGTCTTGAACTCCTTAGCTCAAGCAATCTGCCCTCCTTAGCCTCCTAAAGTACTGGGATTACAGGCATGAGCCACTGTGCCTTGCCAGAAGACAGAATCTCACTCTGTCACCCAGACTACAGTGCAGTGGTACAATTTCAGCTCACTGTAACTTCCACCCCCAAGTGATCCTCCTGCCTCAGCCTCCCAAGTAGCTGGGACTACAGGCATGAGACACCACACCTGGCTAAACTATAGCTGTATTTAATAATAAACTACTTTTACATGATTGTGATATGTAATATATGATTATCAAAATTTAAAACTTACCAGGGAAGGAGTATTGAACTTGATTTCTTCAAAGCAGCCATCAAACATTAAACTAAATGTTGGATCTACACATACACATACACAAAAAAATTCTTAAACATTAAGACCATTAAATAACTTTTCCAGTTATACTTTTCTGTGAAAATATTTAGCACCCCCTACTCCCACTGCCCAGTGCTATGGTGCAGTCATAGCTCACTGCAGCCTCAAACTCCTGGGCTCAAGTGATCCTCTGCCTCAGTTTCCCAAGCAGCCAGGACTATAAGCTCAAGCTGCCACATCCAGCTAATTTTTAAGTTTGTTATAGAGATGGGGTCTCACTATGATGCCGAGGCTGATCTCAAACTCACAGATTCAGTTGCCCACCTTAGCCTCCCAAAGTGCTGGGATTAAAGGCATGAGCCACAAAACCTGACCAACTATGATCTTCTAATAAAACCACTAGCTGGGCACGGTGGCTCACACCTGTAATCCTAGCACTCTGGGAAGCCGAGGCTGGTGGATCACCTGAGGTCAGGAGTTCAAGACAAGCCTGACCAATATGGTGAAACACTAAAAATACCAAAATTAGCTTGGTGTGGAGGCATGTACCTGTAGTCCCAGCTACTTAGGAGGCTGAGATGGCACCACTGCACTCCAGCCTGGTCGACAGAGTGAGACTCCGTCTCAAAACAAAACAAAATTAAAAGTCTCAAAACAAAACAAACAAACAAAAAACACCTAACTTGTGATTAATAAGATTTTTCTCAATATTCTTAAGAGTACAATCACTAAGTCCAAATGGGCATTAATTTGTAAGTAAAGCCTAGCCTCATGAATGTTTATAATTGGAAAAATATTAGAATTTTATAATATATAGTATTTGTAGTTTTTTAAAAAAGAAATTGAGTTTTTAAAATTAAACATTCTGTGGTAATTTTTTAGAAGATGGATCAATTCTGTTAGGCTGATGGTAGCTAAATATGCAATAATCCATAAGAAAGTGTTCTCAGGGGTAAAGAATGGCTAAGTTCAGTATTAAGAACAGCGGAAAGACTGTGTTCCATAAAAAATCCTGACCACTAAATAGATTTAGTGATCTATTTATAGCTACGATAAGGAAGCAAGGAGAAGAATCTAGTATTTTCCCTACCAAAATACCTTAACTAGATCTCTTATTTACATTCTAGAGACTGTTCTCTGCTTCCTAAATATCTAACACCCAACACAGTAACCCAAAGCAGTATCCATTTTTAAAAAGTGGTTGCTATTTTGTGAGTTAAATATAATTACTCCAGTCTCCAGAATAACTACAGATTTGAGTAACTGTTTAACTGATGTAAAATCATTGCTACCTACCACTTGTAGTAAGGATTACAGGTCGTTTAGTTGTTGCCATGAATGTTTTGATGGCACTCAAAAACCCAGCATCTTCATCAAAGATTACATCAACCTACAAACAATTTGTTAGAATGTTAATGTAATAAGTAACAATACACTTACTGAATATCAGTTACATACACACAGTAAATATTCTGTCTGAGACAAAATTTATGAATTTATGAACAATGTGAATTCAGCCCATGTTGAAAGTTTATAATGTCACACACTAAATGAATTTTAAAATTATTAACTATCAAATGTTAAAAACACAACCACCTTGGGGTCTATTGGGGGGAAAAGGGGAGGGCCAGTGGGAGGGGGAGGTGGGGAGGGATAGCCTGGGGAGAAATGCCAAATGTGGGTGAAGGGGAGAAGAAAAGCAAAGCACACTGCCATGTGTGTACCTATGCAACTGTCTCGCATGCTCTGCTCATGTACCCCAAAACCTATAATCCAATAAAAAATTAAAAAAAAAAAAAAAAAAAAAAAAAAACACAACCACCTATAAATAGACAGATATGAATCTGAATTTATACAATCATTTAACAATAATTAGCAGCTGTGAATTACATTAATCTTCCTGAAAAATTCTTCTAGAATTGACAGTTTCATTTGCTTTAATTTCAAATAGATACACATTTTCCTGACCTTCTTAGCTATTTTACAATTCTTCATAAGAAAACATATAGTATTCTTTAAAGTAAGTCTTTATCATAAGCTCTCACAAATGTATGCTTCTATAAGCCTACCTCCTCAAAAAGAATAAGAGATGTTGCATTTTTTCTGTTGGGTTCTTCAGCTCCAACATCTTTGACATTTGAATTAGTTGCATTTGTAGATTTACTCTGAGTAATCTGTTTCTGTTCAAAAAAATTTTTTATTCCTGCATAAATAAAATATTGGTATTTTAGGTAAAATCAACTTTTGGTAAAACACTGGATATTTTTACAGAAGCAGCTCAAACTGAAATCCATGATCAAAACTGAAACAGGAAAGGCATGGTAGCTCATGCCTGTAATCCCACCACTTTGGGAGGCCAAGGCAGGCAGATCACCTGAGGTCGGAGCTTCAAGACCAGCCTGGCTAACATGGCAAAATCTCAACTCTACTACAAATACAAAAATTAGCTGGGCGTGGTGGCACACACCTGTAATCTCAGCTACTCAGGAGGCTGAGGCAGGAGAATCACTTGAACCCAGGAGGGCGAAGGTTGCAGTGAGCCGAGATAGCACCACTACACTCAAGCCTGGATGACAGAGTCAGATTCCGACTGAAACAAACAAACAAAAACTGAAATAAGCTGGGTGTGGTGGCTCAGGCCTGTAATCCCAGCACTTTGGGATGCTGAGGTGGGTGAAATCACTTGAGGTCAGCAGTTCAAAACCAGTCTGGCCAATATGGCAAAATCCCGTCTTTACTAAAAATACAAAAATTAGCTGGTGTGGTGGTGCACGCCTCTAATTCCAGCTACTTGGGAGGCTGAGGTGGGAGAATTGCTTGAACCCAAGAGGAGGAGGTTGCAGTGAGCCGAAATCGTCCAGCTTGGATGATAGAACAAGACTCTGTCTTTTAGAAAAAAAAAAAGGTGAAACAAAATATTAAAATTTCTTTATGTAGAAACTTCAGCCTTCAGTGTAGCTGAGATTTAATAAATAGCAACAGGAACTTGTAAAATGTGTTCACATTTTTATGTATAAGGGTCATTATTAAAAAATATAAAATTTAATTTGTCAATTTAATGTCTTACCTTTATTATTTTCCAGAAGCATTCCTATTTCTTCATTATTTTTAGGTTTGGAAGATACTTTAAAATAATTTGCCAAGGTTTTGGGAGGAAGTGCTCGCTTTGGTCCACTACTTTTTGGTGATGGTGGAGGAACTTTTCTTGGTGATGTAACAATTTTCTTAGGCGAACTTATTTTTTCTGCCCAAAACATATTGCATTTAATGATAAATATTCTAAAAATCATACAGGTAACAAGATAATTAGCCACATTCTATATTTCTACTCTTACCAGTTAAAAATCAAAGCCACAGGAATTTTCTTTCATTCTTACATTCAAATACTTTGTACATTCAAATATTACTATATTTATTTATTCTACCAGTACAGAAGGTTAAGCCAGTCATTTAGAGAAGACACTCTACTCTAAATAAATACATATCTTTTTTTTTTTGAGACAGGGTCTCACTTTGTTACCCAGGCTGGAATGAAGTGGCATAATCTTGGCTCACTGCAGTCTCAACCTCCTAGGCTCAAGCAATCCTCCCGCCTCAGCCCAAGTAGCTGGGACTACAGGAGCATGCCACCATGCCTGGCTAATTTTTTGTATTTTTATTAGAGATGGGGTTTTGCCATGTTGTCCAGGCTGGTCTCAAACTCCTGAGCTCAAGCGATCCATCCGCCTCAGCCTCCTAAAGTTCTAGATTACAAGTGTGAGCCACCGTACCAGGCCAGAAATACACATTCTCATAACAAATAATGTTCACAATCCCTCCAATGATTTTTTTCTACACCTGCTTAAAGTCAGAAGAGGGTAGAAGGAAAATAACAGTATCCACTGAGCACATTACAGACCTTTGCTGTATAACTTTAATTTAGACCTGTAATAAATTAATATTGTAAGCAAATAATACTTTGGAAGATAGATACAAAGTTAAAAAATAAATAGTTCACCTCTACTCTCTAGAATCCCCATGGCATTTTTCCATAGCATATATCCTCTCTTCCCCACTAAGTACCTGGTTTTAGTCCTTACAAGTCCTAATTACTGTATGGCCTCAGAATAGGATCTTCCTCATATACCATCTTATGTTCACATTTCCATACCTGTGTCCTATTCTTATTTTGTACCCTCTGCCTCCACAGATCTTATCATAGCCCCTGTATATTAGGTGTTCAATAGGCTTATTGAAAACCTTGAGGTTAAAAAACCTGTCACAGACATCACCATCATTTCATAAATATAGAACATTTCAACACCACAGGTAAGACATACAATATCTTAAAATATAAAAATATTTGGCCGGGTGCAGTGGCTTGTGCTTATAATCCCAACACTTTGGGAGGCCGAGGCGGGCAGATCACCAGGTCAAGAGTTTGAGACCAGCCTGGCTAACATAATGAAACCCCGTCTCTACTAAAAATACAAAAATTAGCCAGGCGTGGTGGCAAGCACCTGTAATCTCAGCTACTCAGGAGGCTGAGGCAGGAGAATCCCTTGAATCCAGGAGGTGGAGGTTGCAGTGAGCTGAAATCACATCACTGCATTCCAGCCTGGGCAACAGAGCCAGATTCCGTCTCAAAAAAAGAAAAAAATTTTACAACAAAAGAACCACCTTCTTGCAGAAATAGCCAACTATAGGTCTGGGACATCTTGACATGCCAGAAAGCAAGAAAAATATTAACTATTGCTGGGGTTGTGTTACAAGGACAGAAACCAATTAAAACAGTTCCCTGGGCCAGGCATGGTGGCTCACGCCTGTAATCCAAGCACTTTGGAGGCCAAGGCGGGCGGATCACCTGAGGTCAGGAGTTCAAGACCAGCCTGACCAACATGGTGAAACCTCATCTTTAAAAAAAAAGACAGTTCCCTGCTAGCCAAAGATGGAAAAATATGAGCACAAAGAGAAAACAAGATAGGATTCTGCTTCTAGCCAAGGTACAGAATTGGCACTGGATTTATCCTCCCATTGAAAATAGGAACAACAAAAAAACTGGACATAGTATATGAAATAACACTTTTCAAGCCTTTGTCATCATGCAACAATGGACAGTAATCTCTGAGATACAAAAAACAAATAAGGTAAACACTAGGACTGCCCAGCCTACCGGGGTGAGAAAATTGCCATAGCAAGGGGAAAGCCAATCCATGTTTTCTGAATTGAGACAGACTGCACTAGAAACCTAAGGAGGTTGGCTGGGTGTGGTGGCTCACGCCTGTAATCCCAGCACTCTGGGAGGCTGACGTGGGCAGATTTGAGGCCAGGAGTCTGAGACCAGCCTGGCCAACACAGTGAAACCCCACCCCATCTCTACTCAAAACACAAAAACATTAGCTGGGCATGGTGCCGGGCGCCTATAATCCCAGCTACTTGGGAGGATAAGCCAGGAGAATCACTTGAAACTGGAAGGCAGAGGTTGCAGTGAGCCAAGATCGCACTACTGCACTCTAGCCCAGGCGACTGTGAGACTGTCTCAAAAAAAAAAAAAAAGAAAGAAAAAGAAACCTGAGGAGGCCAAGTAGACAGATGTTGGGAAGAATACAGAAGAAGCAGCTAGGCAAAGCTCTTGAAATTTGCAGAGTTCCCCTCAAGTCTAAAAGTGAGTACTCATCAGTGAAAGATCAGAGGAAACCATCACTGAGGCTCACAGAGAGCTGGGAATGATTCATCTTCCCATCAGGTAGACTGACAAACATAATAACTCATGGAGTATTGAAGCACTCAGAAAGGTTTCGCCTAAGTAGTAGGGCAAAATTAGCCCTAGACTAAGTGTTGCTACTGTTTTGTCTACTGCAGTTTAAAAGACCTGAAAAGGTTGGGTGTGGTGTTGGCTCACACTTGTAATTCGAGCACTGTGGGAGGCCAAGGCAGGAGGACTGCTGGAGGCCATGAGTTTGAGACTAGCCTGACAACACAGCAAGACCCTGTCTCTACAAAGAAACATTTTTTTAATTAGCTGAGTACAGTGGTCTGTAGTCCTAGCTACTCAGAAGGCTAAGGTAGGAGGTTCACTTAAGCCCAATACAAGGTGGCAGAGAGCCATAATCATGCCACTGCACTCCAGCCTTGGCAACAGATTGAGACTGTCTCAAAAACAAATATACAAAAGACCTGAAAATAATAAATTTCCAACTATCTTAACCACATCACCAAAGAAAGTTAACAAATAGTTATAGGTACAGAAAGAGCAGAATTGATAATTTAAAAAAAAAGTCATAGGAATACATAAATATCCAGCACACAAGAAGGTAAACTGTATAAAGTCTGACATGCAATCAAAATTATCCAAAGAAACAGAGAAATACAATTATAATGAGACAGGGAATAATCAATTAATTGAAAACCCAACTCAGAAATGACACGGATGGGCCAGGCACGGTGGCTCACACCAGTAATCCCAACACTTTGGGAGGCCAAGGTGGGTGGATCACCTGAGGTCAGGAGTTTGAGACCAGCCTGGCCGACATGGAGAAACCCCATCTCTAATAAAAATACAAAATTAGCTGAGCATGGTGGCACATGCCTGTAATCCCAGCTAATTGGGAGGCTGTGGCAGGAGGAGAACTGCTTGAACCCAGGAGGTGGAGGCTGCAGTGAGCAGAGATTGCACCATTGCATTCTAGCCTGGGCACCAAGAGCGAGACTCCATCAAGAAAGAAAAGAGAGAAAAGAAAGGAAGGAAGGGCACGGATGATGAGAATCAGTAGCCAAGACCACTAAAACAGTTGTTGTAACTGTATTGCATATGTTCAAAAATCTAGAGGAATGCCTGGGCACACGGTAAGTAGAAAAACAGAAGATATAAAAAGGACCCAAATCCAAACTTCTAGAAATGAAAACTACACTTACAGCAGTGACAGCATACTAGATACTGCAGAAGAAAATATATAGACACTTGAATAAATAGTAATAACCAAACTGAAACAAAAAGAGAAAAAAGACTGAAAAACTGAACAAAACATCAGTGTGCCAGGAGACCATTTCAAGTGGTCTAAAATACCTATAATAACTGGAGTTGCCAAAGGAAATGGGGAGTACAGAAGAATATTTCAAGAAATACTGGTTGAAATTTATCAACTTTGATCTTCCCAACTATAAACATATATGCAAGAAACTCAACAAATCCCAAGCAAAAGAAACATGAAGAAAAGTACACCAAGGCACATCATAATCAAATTACTTAAAACCAGTGAGAAAATCTTCAAAGCAGGGCTGGGCGCGGTTGCTCACGCCTATAATCCCAGCACTTTGGGAGGCCGAGGCGGGTGGTCACGAGGTCAAGAAATCGAGATCATCCTGGTCAACAAGGTGAAACCCCGTCTCTACTAAAAATACAAAAAATTAGCTGGGCATAGTGGTGCGTGCCTGTAATCCCAGCTAGCTACTCAGGAGGCTGAGGCAGGAGAATTGCCTGAACCCAGGAGGTGGAGGTTGCAGTGAGCCAAGATCATGCCATTGCACTCCAGCCTGGGTAACAACAGCAAAACTCCATCTCAAAAAAAAAAAGAAAATCTTCAAAGCAACAAACAAATAATAAACACAAAGAGTTGAAACATATTATATGTATATAAAAATCCATGAGCTCGTAATAACACTTAAAAAATTAAACTACACAAAAACTCACTGGTCAACTGTCAAGGCTGCTAGGATACCATTACTCTAAGAACTAATAAAAGAAAGAATGTCTGGGTAACAACAGCGAAACTCCATCTCAAAAGAAAAAAAAAAAAAGGAAGGATGAAGCATTTCTGGTGCCTACAAACTGTATTTCAAAGCATCCAAAGAGTTGAGGAATAGTGTTTCTTCTTGAAATTCTAATAAACGCAAAAAAGAGAATTATAAAATTATCATTTTGTAATCTATAATGGATAATCTGCTATAATGTCACAGAAAATACACAACCACCTGTACATGTATGCCAGACCCAGAACAGAACCTGAATCTAATCAAGCCCATAGATCTACTGTTAGTTTACAAGCGAAGAGAAATATGTTAACTGATACCAAGGAGATATAATCAGCAGACAAATCCAGAATATGAAAAATTTCATGACAAATGACTCAGATTCTTCAACAAATAAATGCCATGAAAAGAAAGGTGAATGAATTGTTAGTAAGATTAAAAGAAAGTTAAGAGACATGAATCAAATATAAGATATGAACTTTGTTTGGATCCAGATTTGAACAAATAATTTGAAACAGATCGGGTGCAGTGGCTCATGCCTGTAATCCCAGCACTTTGGGAGGCCAAGGCAGGTGGATCACGAGGTCAAGAGATCAAGACCATCCTGGTCAACATGACCATCCTGGTCAAACCCCGTCTCTTATTAAAAATACAAAAAATTAGCTGGGCATGGTGGCGTGTGCCTGTAATCCCAGCTATTCAGGAGGCTGAGGCAGGAGAATTGCCTGAACCCAGGAGGTGGAGGTTGCGGTGAGCCGAGTTCACACCATTGCACTCCGCGTGGGTAACAAGAGTGAAACTCCATCTCAAAAAATATATAATAATAATAATAATAATTTGAAACAATAAAAAACTGACATAAGACTGTATATTAGATGATATGAACAAATATAGTTAATAGATCTTTTTTTTTTTGGAGACAGGATCTCACTCTGTCACCTAGGCTGGAGTGCAGTGGTCCAATCACAGCTTACTGCAGCCTCAACCTTCCAGGCTCAAGTGATCCTCCCATCTCAACTTCCAGAGTAGCTGGGACTAAAGGCACACACCAACAAACCCAGCCAATATATTTTTTTTGTAGAGACAAGGTCTCTCTGTGCTGCTTAGGCTGGTTGTTAATTCTGCTGGGTCTGATTATGATATTATAGTTATGCTTTTTTAAAAGACCTTATCAGATAGAGATAAATATTGAAGAATGTATAGGTGAAATGATATGATGGTCTTCAGATTTGTTTTAAAATAGTCTGGTGGGGTGGGCAGGGAACATGTATATATGTAGAAGATAAAAATAAGTGGCAAAATGCGGATAATTAACATTATTTTCTTGGATTTTATTTTTTTCAAAATGTTATGGCTTAAGGAAAATAATTTACTTACTTGGTGACTTGCCTATATTGTAGCTATTAAAAAAACAGGGTTTTTGTGAGTTTACACCTTGTTTGTCTACTTGATGGGACTGAGTAGCTTCCTTCAATTGAGATAGAATTTGCCTACCACTGCGCTGGGAAGAGGCATTGACTTCAAATATCTAAAAGAAGAATATAAGAAAAAACAAAGGGGGAATGGTTTATGTTTCCTTTTAATCCAAAGGTAATTATTACGTTAACATTCTCCCGTCATAGCTGTTACTAACCTTAAACCCAAGCTCCTGGGCGCAAGCATACACTGCAGCAGTTTTTCCCACTCCTGTTGGCCCTGATATAAGGACAGTACTGCAAAGACGACTCTCTTCTTCATCATCTGAACTGCCTTTGAAGTCTATGCTACCCAAGACATCTGAAAAATTATTCATTTGCAAATAAAACAATTGCTGAGGAAGCAATTCTACTTTATGAAACCCAATGATCAAATCCCACAAATTTCTTGCAATAAATGCTGAAAAATGAATTTGTAAAAAGTAGAAAATCAAATATAAAATACCAATTAAAAAATTTTATATAAAGTTTTAGTTAATCTAACTAAAAATGTTCAGTGAAACAGTGAAAAAAAAAATGACACAAAATACCTTCCTGTTTCTCATCTCTTTTTCCCTTCAGATTTTGTCTTTCTTCCAATTCAGCTCTTCTTTTCCAGTCTTTCAACCAACTGCCACAAGAAAATGTAATAAAAATAATTCACAGAATATAGCAATCTCTTAGACTTTCTGTTAAAATGATTATTGGGGAAAGTTATGGCATATGGTTAGTTTCTAAGCAATCCATATTTACACAGACAGGAACATTTTTAAATGAAGTAGTTTCTGCCAAAATATACAAGACTATATGTGCAAGAATATTCACTGCAGCATTGTTTATATTAGCCTCTAACAGGAAAAACATAAAAGTATACCAGTGGGGAAAAAGATATATTACAGTACACTCACTTAGAAACCAGTACACAGCAATTAAAAAGAACTGAAGTAGCAGGGCTGGCACAGTGGCTCAGGCCTATAATCCCAGCACTTTAGGAGGCAGAGGCAGGTGGACTGATCAGCCTGGGCAACACAGCAAAATCTGTCTCTACAAATAATACAAACATTAGCGAGGCATGGTGGTACACGCCTATAGTTCCAGCTACTTGGGAGGCTCAGGTAGGAGGATGGCTTGAGCATGGGAGGTGAAGGTTGCAGTGAGCCAAGATTGCAACACTGCACTCCAGCCTGGGCAACAGAGCAAGACTCTGTCTCTCACACACACACACACACACACACACACACACACACAAAAGAACTTTGGTATATTGTGTAATTATATGAAAGATGCCTAATATACAATGTACAACAGAAAGATTAAATTCTAATCTGGAGCTAGAATGCCTGAGTTTAAACCCCAATTCCATCACTTTCTACCTGGGTGACCTTGGACAAATAACTCAGCTTCTCTAGGCCTTGGTTTCTTCATCTATGAGATGAGAACAGAATTTATGCTCATAGTTTTTTGGGTTTTTTTTTTTTTTTTTTTTTTTTTAAGACAGCCTTGCTTTGTCACTGGAGTGTAGGGGTACAATCATAGCTCACTGCAGCCTCGAATTCTTGGACTCATGTGATCCTCCCACCTTAGTCTCCTGAATAGCTCAGAAAACAGGTGCATGCCACCATGACCAATTATTTTTTTATTTTTTGTAGAGATGGGGTCTCCCTATGTTGCCCAGGCTGCTCTCAAACTCCCGGCCACAAGCAATCCTCCTGCCTTAGCCTACCAAAGCAGAGATTACAGGCATGAGCCACTGTATCCAACTGCTCAGAGTATTGTTCTAAGGATAAAATGAATTAAGAATTAAGAATAATACAAGTACTTAGAACAGTACCAACTTCATGGGTCCATAAGTCCTTATATGAAATCCTTTAGGCCAGATTATTTTAGAATTCATAATTTTTCAGATACTTAAAAGGTTATTTGGTACATATACTGCATATGACATAATACTCCTAATAGGGTGTAGGCAGTACATCCACAATCACTTAAGTTGTTTTGGTTTGATTATTCTTTTATTTTTTTGAGACACAGTATCACTCTAGCCCAGGCTGGAGTGCACTGGCACAATCTCAGCTCACTGCAACCTTTTCCACCGGGGTTCAAGTGATTCTCATGCCTTAGCCTCTGGGGTAGCTAGGATTAGAGGCATGCATCACCATGCCCGGCTAATTATCATATTTTTAGTAGAGACAAGGTTTTGCCATATGGGCCAGGCTGGTCTAAAACTCCTGAGCTCAGGTGATCCACCCGCCTTGGCCTCCCAAAATGCTGAAATTAGAGGCAGGAGCTAGCACCCCTGGCCACTTTGTTACTTTTTTTAACTTTTTAATTTTAAAATTGTCATCCCGGGCTGGGCGCGGTGGCTCACACCTATAATCCCAGCACTTTGGGAGGCCGAGGCGGGTGGATCATGAGGTCAAGAGATCGAGGCCATCCTGGACAACATCATGAAACCCCGTCTCTACTAAAAATACAACCAGCTAATTTTTGTATTTTTAGTAGAGACAGGGTTTCACCATGTTGGCCAGGCTGGTCTCGAACTCCTAGCCTCAAGTGATAGGCCCGCCTTGGCCTCCCAAAGTGCTGGGATTACAGTTGTGAGCCACCACACGCAGCCATCACTTAATATTTTTATTTAAAAATGTTTAGAATTTTTTGGATGTGAGAATTAAAGACCAAGGACCAGGGACCTGAATTAATAGTAATGCGATCCCGTTTGTTAGAAAGGAAGAACTAACATACGCATAAAATATTTTTCTGCAAGATTTTATAAGAAATTTAAATGATTATCTCTGAAGAGTCGAAATGTATGAAAAGAGAGCTACCTTTCACTTAAAATTTTACCAGTTTTTAAAAGATTTTATCATAACATATATTACTTTAAAACTATAATTTCAAAATAAAAATAGTAAAACTAAGTTTGTAAACTATTTCTCAATTCCTTTACAAATTTTACCAACCTATGTAACTTTTTTATAGCTAACTCATTTCCTATAAGTTCACTGGCAGTCTGAGGTTGATACTTTTCTGTCCAAAGCATGTCTTCAGTTCCAGAATCTAAAACAAACAAACAAAAAAATTAAACATATTCCTTGACATAAACATATGAATTCTTAGTCATTGATATTATTGTTACAATGTCACAGTAGGTATTTGCAGAAATATTTATATTTACAAAATGCCAACTAGGTAATTTTAAAACAATGTTACATTTAAAATTCTTCACACCAAATCCTTCCCCTAAAAACAAACAAACAAACAAAAAAACCACCATAATCTTATTAAAATTTTAAAGTATACATTTAAACATTTGTTTTCTTTTCTTTTAGGATTACCATTTGGCCCAGCAATCCCATTACTGGGTATATACCCAAAGGAAAATAAATCGTTTTACCAAAAAGACACATGTACTCACTTGTTTATCAGCACTATTTTTTTTTTTTTTAATGGATTCTTGCTCTGTTGTCCAAGCTGGAGTGCAGTGGAGAGATCTCGGCTCACTGCAACCTCTGCCATCCAGGTTCAAATGATTTTCCTGCCTCAGCCTCTCAAGAAGTTGGGATTATAGACGTGCGCCACCATGCCCAGCTAATTATCATATTTTTAGTAGAGACAAGGTTTTGCCATGTGGGCCAGGCTGGTCTAAAACTCCTGAGCTCAGGTGATCCACCCACCTTGGCCTCCCAAAATGCTGAAATTAGAGGCATGAGATAGCGCCCCTGGCCACTTTGTTACTTTTTTTAACTTTTTAATTTTAAAATTGTCATCCCGGGCCCGGCACGGTGGCTCACGCCTATAATCCCAGCACTTTGGGAGGCCGAGGCGGGTGGATCACGAGGTCAAGAGATCGAGGCCATCCTGGACAACATCATGAAACCCCGTATCTACTAAAAATACAAAAAATTAGCTGGGCATAGTGGCACAGGCTTGTAATCCCAGCTACTCAGGAGGCTGAGGCAGGAGAATTGCCTGAACCCAGGAGGCGGAGGTTGCAGTGAGCTGAGATCGCACCACTGTACTCCAGCCTGGGTAACAAGAGCGAAACTCCGTCTCAAGAAATAAATAAATAAAATAAAATAAAATTGCTATCCCTTCACTTGAGGTCAGGAGTTTGAGACTAGCTAACATAGCAAAACCCTACCTCTACTAAAAGAAAAACAAAAACAACTGTCATCTTTGCACAGGGGCCATGCTAATCTCTGTATTATTCCAATTTTCGTGTATATGCTGCTAAAGTAAGCACAATACAATCTTTTTTAGAGATGGAGTCTTTCTCTGTCACCCAGGTTGGAGTGCAATGATGCAATCTTGGCTCCCTGTAACCTCCACCTCCTGGATTCAAGCCATGCTCTGCCTCAGCCTCCCAAATAGCTGGGATTACAGGCATGCACCACAGCTGGCTAATTTTTGTATTTTTAGTAGAGACGGGGTTTCAACACGTTGATCAGGCTGGTCTCGGACTCCTGACCTTGTGATCCCACCGCCTCAACCTCCCAAAGTGCCAGGATTACAAGTGTGAGCCACAGCCCCCAGCCAATACCAGATATTTTTTAAAGCACATACATTGGCCAGGCACAATGGCTCATGCCTGTAATCCCAGCACTTTGGGAGGCCAAAGCAAGCAATCATTTGAGTTCAGGAGTTCAAGACCTGCCCAGGCAATACAGTGAAACCCTGTCTCTACAAAAATTAGCTGGATGTGGTGGCTCGTGCCTGTAATCCCAGCTACTCAGGAGGCTGAGACAGGAGAATCACTTGAACCAGGGAGGCAGAGGATGTGAGAGCTGAGATCAGGCAACTGCACGCCAGCCTGGGTAGCAGAGCGAGACTCTGTCTCAAAAAATAAAAAATAAGGCCAGGCGCAGTGGCTCATGCCTATAATCCCAGCACTTTGGGAGGCTGAGGTGGGTGGATCACGAGGTCAAGAGATCAAGACCATCCTGGTCAACAAGGTGAAACCCCATCTCTACTAAAAATACAAAAATTAGCTGGGCATGGTGGTGTGCGCCTGTAGTCCCAGCTACTCGGGAGGCTGAGGCAGGAGAATTGCCTGAGCCCAGGAGGCGGAGGTTGCGGTGAGCCGAGATTGCACCATTGCACTCCAGCCTGGGTAACAAGAGTGAAACTCCGTCTCAAAAATAAATAAATAAAATAAATAAATAAAAAATAAGAAAATAAAATCACATATATTTATAGAAGCACAGAAAAATCAAAGAGTGAACACTTATTTGTTAATAGGGTTATTGGTAAGCCCATAATCTGTGAGGTTTCACTTATTTCAAACACATATTTATTGTTTGAAAGTTGAAATAAGCACATACAAAAAGGAGAAGGAAAGAATGAAAAGTTAAAAAACAAAAGAGTTCTAGGACAAGAAGGAAAAACTCTAATTTGCCAGGAATGGAAGACATTAATATTTCTGGTACAAATTGTCATCATCTAATTATTAGAATATCAATATCTGCACCTTGGGAGGCCAAGGCAGGTGGATCACCTGAGGCAAGGAGTTCAAGACACGCCTGGCCAGTAAGTGAAAGCCTGTCTCTACTAAAAATATAAAAATTATCTGGGTGTGGAGGCGGGGACCTGTATTCCCAGCTACCCAGGAGGCTGAGGCAGGAGAATCACTTGAACCGAAGAGGTAGAAGGAAGTTGCAGTTAGCGGAATCATGCCATTGCACTCCAGCCTGGGCAACAAGAGTGAAACTCTGTCTCAAAAAAAGAAAAATGAAATCTAAAATTAAAATACAATTCAATTAAATTTTTTTAAAAAGAATATCAAAATCTTTAACTGTTTTAGTTTCCACTTTAGATGTAGTCAAAGCAATCTGTTTCTTCTGGGATGTTTTAGAAAACATACCTTTGGAAGAATCTCGCTTTATCCCAGAAGAGTTGTTTTTTTTGCCAAGTTCTTTTGACTTCCTATTGGACTTTTCCAGATTTTCTGAATACTCATTTGGTTTCTTTCTTTTTGACTTAGAATTTTCTGCTTCCAATCGTTTCCTTTTGGTTTCTTTATGGTTGACATCTGGCTCTAGTTCTACTTTGGGAATTAAAGAAATGCATGTGCTTACTAATCAACGAAAAGCAGTAATATCAATATCACTTCCAAGTATCCAATAATTTTATAACTTTAAAATGAAAAAGCGAGCCTGGTGCGGTGGCCAAGGTCTGTAATTCCAGAACTTTGGGAGGTTGAGGTGGGCAGATTGCTTGAGTCTATGCATTTGAGACCAACCTGGGTAACATGAGGAAACCCCATCTCTACTAAAAATATAAAAATTAGCCAGGAGTGGTGATGTGCATCTGTAGTCCCAGCTACTTAGGAGGCTGAGGTAGGAAGATCACATGAACCCAGAAGGTTGAGGCTGCAGGGAGCCATGACTACACCACTGTACTCTAGCCTGGGCCACAAAGTCAGGCCTTGTCTCTTAAAAAACAAATAAGTAAGCTGGGTACGGTGGCTCACGCCTGTAATCCCAGTACTTTAGGAGACTGAGCCAAGAGGATCCCCTGAGGTCAGGAGTTTGAGACCAGCCTGGCCAACTTGGTGAAACCCCATCACTACTAAAAATACAAAAATTAAGGCCGGGCGCAGTGGCTCACACCTGTAATCTCAGCACTTTGGGAGGCCGAGGCGGGTGGATCATGAGGTCAAGAGATCGAGACCACCCTGGTCAACATGGTGAAACCCTGTCTCTACTGAAAATACAAAAAATTAGCTGGGCATGGTGGCGCATGCCTGTAATCCCAGCTACTCAGGAGGCTGAGGCAGGAGAATTGCCTGAACCCAGGAAGCAGAGATTGCAGTGAGCCGAGATCGCACCATTGCACTCCAGCCTGGGTAACAAGAGTGAAACTCCGTCTCAAAAAAAAAAGAAATACAAAAATTAGCCAGGCATGGTGGCATGTGCCTGTAATCCCAGCTACCCAGGAAGCTGAGGCAGGAGATTCATTGGAACCCAGGAGGCAGAGGCATCAGTGAGGCAAGATTGTGTGACTGCACTGGGGGACAGAGCAAGACCTTGTCTCAATAAATAAATTAATTAATTAGCTGGGCGCAGTGGCTCACGCCTATAATCCCAGCACTTTGGGAGGCCGAGGTGTGTGGATCACGAGGTCAAGAGATCGAGACCATCCTGGTCAATGAGGTGAAACCGCATCTCTACTAAAAATACAAAAATTAGCTGGGCATGGTGGTGCGCGCCTGTAGTCCCAGCTACTCGGGAGGCTGAGGCAGGAGAATTGCTTGAACACAGAAGGCAGAGGTTGTGATGAGCCGAGATCGTGCCATTGCACTCCAGTCTGGGTAACAACAGTGAAACTCCATCTCAAAAATAAAAATAAAAATTAATTAATTAATTAATAGGCCCGGTTTGGTGGCTCATGCCTGTAATCCCAGCACTTTGGGAGGCTAAGGCAAGTGAATCACTTGATGTCATGAGTTTGAGATGAGCCTGACCAACATGGTGAAACCCCATCTCTACTAAAAAATATAAAAATTAGCCGGGCATGGTGGCAGCACCTATAATCCCACCTACTAGGGAGGCTGAGGCACCAGAATCACATGAACCCCAGGAGGCAGAGGTTACCGTGAGCTAAGATCACACCACTGTACTTCAGCCTGGGTGACAAAGCAAGACTCTATCACAAAAAGTAAGTAAATTAATTAATTAAATAAAATGAAAAGCCAAGAATCAAATACAACATTCTGAAAGCAAGCTGGAGATTTTAATACTTAGGCTGTCTTTTGCACAGTCTAAGTGTTAAATTAAATCAAAGCTATTTAAGCTAAAATTATCTAAGGCATTCCTTAAATAAATGATTAATATTTTAACATAATTAAGCTATCTTTGGGTTGGCATTTTTGGAAACTGGCAGGGATTAACACTGCACATTGCATTGTACAAGATACTTTTACTTCAGCTGAACAATTCTCCCTGCCAACTGTAAGCAATGTTGCCTATGGTGAACACTTCCAAGAGTCAATGATTAAGTGTTTTCAAAACTGACATGTTAGGCTGGGCATGGTGGCTCATGCCTATAATCCCAGCACTTTGTGAGGCCAAGGCGGAAGGATCACTTGAGCCCAAGAGTTCAAGACCAGCCTGGGCAACATGGAAAGATCTGGTCTCTACTAAAAATACAAAAACTAGCTAGTCTCATAACCTGGTCTCAAAAAAATAAATAAAAATTTTAAAATAAAATAAGCTGGGTGCAGTGGCTTATGCCTGTGGTCCCAGCTACTCGGGAGGCTGAGACACAAGAATCCCTTGAGCGCAGGAGGCGGAGGTTGCAGTGAGCCAAAGTTGCGCCACTGCACTCCAGCCCGGGTGACAGGGCAAGACTCCATCTCAGAAATAAAAATTTTAAAAAATATATAAAAACTCGAAACTGGGCCAGGCGCGGTGGCTCACGCCTGTAATCCCAGCACTTTGGGAGGCTGAGGCAGGCGGATCACGTGGTCAGGAGATGGAGACCATCCTTGTCAACATGGTGAAAGCCCGTCTCTACTAAAAATACAAAAAATTAGCTGGGCACGGTGGCGTGTGCCTGTAGTCCCAGCTACTCAGGAGGCTGAGGCAGAATTGCCTAAACCCAGGAGGCGGAGGTTGTGGTAAACTGAGATCGCGCCATTGCACTCCAGCCTGGGTAACAAGAGCGAAACTGTCTCAAAAAAAAAAAAACAACCTCCAAACTGATATGTTAACATAAAAGATAGTAATTATCACTAACCTTGTTTACTATGACACTCAGAAGAAAGTACTTGGTGCTCAATTCGTTTTTGTAGAAGTAAGGGAAAATATTTTCTCAAGGAAAATTCAGGATTTGACCACCTAATTTCCTCAAGCAAAAGATTTCTTACTTCTTTGGTAAATTCCTTCCTTGTCCTCATGAACTGTAATAAAGAACAAAATGCACATAACAGATCAACATCATCTATTTATGTTAATTAGAATATTACCAACCACTTTCTGTCCATCATAAATCAATATCAATGTAAGATTAGCTTTAGGCTGGGCATGGTGGCTCATGCCTGTAATTCCAGCACTTTGGGAGGCTGAAGCAGGTGGATCACTTGAGATCAGGAGTTCGAGACCATCCTGGCCAACATGGTGAAACCGTATCTCTACTAAAAATACAAAAATTAGCCTGGCATGGTGGCACGTGCCTATAATCCCAGTTATGAGGGGGGCTGAGGCAGGAGGATTGCTTGAGCCTGGAGGCAGAGGCTACAGTGAGCCCAGATCGTGCCACTGCACTCTAGCCTGGGCAACAGAGCCAAACTCCTTCTCGGAAAAAAAAGAGATTAGCTTTAGTCACTAAATATAAAGCTTACGATAATTAATTTACTTTTATTTTTCTCCCTTTGAACTAATTATATCTATTAGATTATAAAGCTAACTTATAAAGTATCTAAATGTGCTATGTAATCCAATATTATTTCAGAACTAGCTAACATTAATTCTTAAAATGTTTTTAAAGCTCTATGAGTATTTTTTATAAATATGTACTACAATTAGATTTTTTATAAATTAAACTCTAGGACAAAACTGGAGGCTACAAGAGAAGATATTCAAAAATATTATTCCTCTGCAAGATGTAAGGGAAACATTCTACAAGGGATGAGCTCTTTAATACTTACCACAGCAGCAGAATTACTGCTTTTCAACTTTGAATTCAATGTAGAAAATTCACCAAAAGCAATAACACATTTTGAGAGATCTGTTACTTCAGTGTTCAGTTCTTTCAATTTAGTTAAGAGAGGACAAGGGGGTGGTTTCAAATGCCACAAACAGCACCCTAAAGAAAAATAGAAAAAACATCTTAATTAACCTTATTTATACACTATCCATTTACTGAAAGTCAAATATGTCAACATGAAAAGACTTGACAACTACATAATTAACACCAAAGTACCGAAAACCCAATGACTAGAAAGGGAAGAAAAATCCTAACCTCCAACAAATACAATTAATAAAAATTACGGCTGGGCGAGATGGCTCATGCCTGTAATCCCAGAACTCCAGGAAGCTGAGGCAGGTGGATCACGAGGTCAAGAGATCAAGACCATCCTGGCCAACATGGTGAAACCCTGTTACTACTAAAAAAATACAAAAATTAGCTGGGCATGGTGCTGTGTGCCTATAGTCCCAGCTACTCCAGAGGCTGAGGCAGGAGAATTGCTTGAACCCAGGAGGCGGAGATTGCAGTGAGCTGAGATTGCGCCACTGTACTCCAGCTTGGCACCTGGCAACAGAGCAAGACTCCGTCTCAAAAAAAAAAAAAATCACCTAGACTTCCCTCCCAGTTATTAAAAATAAACAAATGTTAATAAACTTTCCTTTCTTTTATATAATCAACCTTGATACTCAGGTTAAAACTTTTAGGAGGGCTGGGCAGGGTGGCTCACGCCTGTAATTCCGGCACTTTGGGAGGCCAAGGCAGGTGGATCACTTGAGGTCAGGAGTTCCAGACCAACCTAGACAACATGGTAAAACCCTGTCTCTACTAAAAATAAAAAATTATACCCAGAACTTAAAGTACAATTAAAAAAAAATACAAAAATTAGCCAGACATGATGGCAAGTGCCTGTAATCTCAGCTACTCAGGAAGCTGAGGCAAGAGAACTGCCTGAACCCGGGAGGCAGAGGTTGCACTGAGCTGAGATCTCGCCACTGCACTCCAGCCTGGGTACAAGCGAGACTCCATCTCAAAAAACAAAACAAAACAAACAAACAAAAAACCTTTTGGGAGGCAGTTAGTATTAGCATCTTGGTCTACTTTTAAGTCAGACCTGGCTTCAAACCCAACCTCTGCCACTTACTAACCTTGTGAGCACAGGCAAGATCCTAAATCTTAGTTTCTTCATCCTCACATTGAAAGTGAGGGGATAGTAATAATTCTCAACCTCTTAGAGTTGTTATGGGGATTAAACTAGATAGGTATACGAATTGCTCAGCAGAATTTCAGACAATAGTATGTGTTCAATAATTTTGAAAGCTGTAAGAGAGAGAGGTTCCCTCTGTTTGCCTCTCTGATCATCTACAAATAGATATGCTAAGTTTTATGGCAGCACTCCTGTGAAAATTAGTTTATCAAAATAAGATAAGAAAAGCATTAACTAATTTCTGTAGTTGAACATACTATTAGAAATTGTTATATAAAGCTGTACTGGTAAAAATAACCAGAAGGCCTTCATCAATTGAATGGCCAGAGGCAGAGATGGGAAATAAGGAAAAGTAGAATAAATTACTGGAAAGACTAGCTGGGAAATTCCCACATACAGAAGAAAGGCTAAATTTTTTTTCTTTTTGAGACAAGATCTTGTTCTGTCACCTAGGCTGGAATGCAGTGGCATGATCACAACTCACTGCAGCCTTGACTTCCTAGACTCAAGTCATCCTCCCACCTCAGCCTCCAGAGTAGCTGGGATTACAGGCATGCACCACTATGCCTAGCTATTTATTCATTTATTTATGAGACAAGATCTCACTGTGTTGCCCAGGCTGGTCTCAAACTCCTGGGCTCAAGCTATTCTCCTGCACTAGCCTCTCAAAATTCTGGGATTACAGGGATGAGACATAGCACCTGGCCTATACCATTTTATTCAGGATACCTAAGCATCCATGAGTGCTGGTATCCACAGGGGGTCCTGAAATCAAACCCAAAAATAGTGAGGGAAATTGTCCTTAGAATTCACACTGAAATCACCATAAGAATGATAATTAGGCTGGGCATGGTGGCTCACACCTGTAATCCCAGAACTTTGGGAGATAGAGGCAGGCAGATCACCCGAGGTCGGGAGTTCAACTAAAAATACAAAATTAGCCAGGCATGGTGGTATGTGCCTGTAATCCCAGCTACTTGGGAGGCTGAAGCAGGAGAATCGCTTGGACCCGGGAGGCAAAGGTTGTGGTGAGCAGAGACTGCACCACTGCACTCCAGCCTAGGCAACAAGAGTGAAACTCCATCTCAAAAAAAAAGAATGATGATTAAACCTCAGCCTCATCTTTAAGCAACTTACATAGTTTAATGTTACTTTTTTTTTGTGAGATGGAGTTTCGCTCTTGTTACCCAGGCTGGAATGCAATGGCACGATCTCGGCTCACCGCAACCTCCGCCTCCTGGGTTCAAGCAATTCTCCTGCCTCGGCCTCCCGAGTAGCTGGGACTACAGGCGCATGCCACCATGCCCAGCTAATTGTTGTATTTTTAGTAGAGATGGGGTTTCACCTTGTTGACCAGGATGGTCTCAATCTCTTGACCTCGTGATCCACCCGCCTCGGCCTCCCAAAGTGCTGGGATTATAGGTGTGAGCCACCGCGCCCGGCCAGTTTAATGTTACTTCTAACAGTTGAAGAGTAAATATTCAATAATAAAAAACAAACTCACCATCATCCTTTTGTTGCACATGAACGACTCTCTGGAAGCTTGTACTCACTGCATTGTACACATCCAGTGCAGCAGTTTTCTTTGCAATTTGACGTTTCAACAAATCTGGCAAACCACTCATTAGGAAGTCACGCTTTGCTTTACATTGAACATCACAATCCAGAGATTTTTCAGATGTATCTTGACTTTAAGAAAATGATTTGAAAAAGAAAAGCTAAGGTTATAAACAAAAGAATAAACTATACTACCTAGAAAATAAACATTTTAGGGCTGGGCGTGGTGGCTCATGCCTGCAACAAGTACTCTGGGAGGCTGAGGTTGGTGGGTGGATCAGTTGAGGCAAGGAGTTCAAGACCAGCCTGGTCAACATGTTGAAACCCCACCTTGGTTCGTCATTTATTGCGGGAGGGAGCCAGAGCCGCGCCACCGAACCCTCCGGTGTCCCAACCCAGGTTAAGAGTGAGCATGGCTGAGCAGGAGCCCACAGCCGAGCAGCTGGCCCAGATTGCAGCAGAGAATGAGGAGGATGAGCACTCAGTCAACTATAAGCCCCCTGCCCAGAAGAGCATCCAGGAGATCCAGGAGCTGGACAAGGATGATGAGAGCCTGCGAAAGTACAAGGAGGCCTTGCTGGGCCGCGTGGCTGTTTCTGCAGACCCTAACGTCCCCAACGTCGTCGTGACTGGCCTGACCCTGGTGTGCAGCTCGGCCCCAGCACCCCTGGAGCTGGACCTGACAGGTGACCTGGAGAGCTTCAAGAAGCAGTCATTTGTGCTGAAGGAGGGCGTGGAGTACCGGATAAAAATCTCTTTCCGGGTGAACAGAGAGATCGTGTCTGGCATGAAGTACATCCAGCACACATACAGGAAAGGCGTCAAGATTGACAAGACTGACTACATGGTGGGCAGCTATGGGTCCGGGGCTGAGGAGTATGAGTTCCTGACCACCGTGGAGGAGGCGCCCAAGGGCATGCTGGCCCGGGGCAGCTACAGCATCAAGTCCCGATTTACAGACGACGACAAGACTGACCACCTGTCCTGGGAGTGGAATCTCACCATCAAAAAGGAGTGGAAGGACTGAGTCCCGGCCGGAGGCGGACAGGGCAGACGGATGGACGGACGGACGACGGACAGGCGGATGTGTCCCCCAGCCCCTCCCCTCCCCATACCAAAGTGCTGACAGGCCCTCCCATGCCACTCCCACCCTGGTCCGCCTTCCTGGCCTGGTGCAGCTGAGTGCCTCCAACCCCCTCAGCCCTCCCCTGCCCACAGGCCCAGCCTCCTCTGTGGTCTCCTGTCTTGTTGCTGCTTCTGCCTGTGCTGTGGGAGAGAGAGGCCCTAGCCAGGCCTCTGCTGCCCTTTCTGTGCCCCCCAAGTCCTATCTCCCCATCACACTTGAGGCCTGGCCTCAGGAGGGAGTGGAGCAGCCCAGGGGGCTCACGGGTGCTTCCATTCTCCAAGCCCCGTGGCTGCCCAGAACATGTTTGTCTGCCGCTCCACAGCGGAGCTGGGATGTGGGATGCAGGGCCTTGTGGGGACCAGGCCACCCTCCAGCCCCGCCGCTCCTTGGCCAGCCACCCCCCCCCCGCCCCGTCACTGTCAGTCCTGTCTAACCATAATGCCTTAACATGTGGAACGTGCCGTGGGGGCCTCACTAACCTCTAACTCCCTGTGTCTGCATGAGCATGTGGTCTCCCTGTCCCATACCCGGTGGCAAACCCAGTGATCCAGGGAGGTGTGGGATGCTGCTGCCGCCCTCAAGCCTACCAGTGCCTGGCCCACCCGCCCCTGCCCTGGCCAGGGCTGTGGGGATGGCTCCAGCGGCTTGGGGAAAGCCAAATTGCCAAAACTCAGTCACCTCAGTACCATCCAGGAGGCTGGGTGTTGTCCTGCCTCTGCCTTTTCTGTCTTGGCGGGCAGCGCCCAGAGCCCACCCCCAAGAGAGCCCTGGACGGACAGCCTCACCCACCCCGCCTGGGCCCAGCCAGGAACCCTTCCTGGCCATCAGTATTTATTGCCTCCGTCCGTGCCATCCCTGGGCCACTAGCCTGCTGCCTGTTCCCTCAGGCTCAGTGCCACCACCCCCAGCAGGCCCTCCCTGACCCAGCCAGGAACAAACAAGGGACCAAGTGCACACAGAGCTGAGATCATTTGTGCCACCCCAGCCCGTCCCCGGTCGTCTTGTGTCTGCTGGGCTCAGGCAGAGGCGCCTGTTCCTGCTTTTCTGACCAGGAAATAAATGTTCCTGAAGGAGAAAAAAAAAAAAAGAAACCCCACCTCTACTAATTAGTATACATAAAATTAGCCAGGCGTGGTGGCATTGTGCTTGTAATCCCAGCTACTCAAGTGGCTGAGGCACGAGAACTGCTTGAGGCTGGGAGGCAGAAATTTACCTATATATAAAATATATATTAGGTAATTTTATATAAAATATTTAAATATAAACTTTATATATAAAATATAATTATATAATGTATACATTTTATTAAAATTTTATATCTTAGGTAATTTTATATAAAATACTGACAAATATTTTGGTTTTTTGGTTTTTTTTGAGACGGAGTTTCGCTCTTGTTACCTAGGCTGGAGTGCAATCGCACCATCTCGGCTCACCGCAACCTCCTCCTCCTGGGTTTAGGCAATTCTCCTGCCTCAGCCTCCCGAGTAGCTGGGACTATAGGCGCGCACCACCATGCCCAGCTAATTGTATTTTTAGTAAAAACGGGGTTTCACCATGTTGACTAGGATGGTCTCGATCTCTTGACCTCGTGATCCACCCACCTCGGCCTCCCAAAATGCTGGGATTACAGGCGTGAGCCACCATGCCTGGCCTGTTTTTTGGTTTTTTTTTTTTGAGACAGAGTCTCACTCTGTCACCCAGGCTAGAGTGCAATGGCACAATCTTGGCTCACTACAACTTCCGCCTCCCGGGTTCAAGCGATTCTCCTGCCTCAGCCTCCTGAGTAGCTGGGACTACAGGCATATGCCACCGCACCCAGTTAATTTTTGTATTGTTAGTAGAGATGAGGTTTCACCATCTCGGCCAGGCTGGTCTCGAACTCCTGACCTCGTGATCCACCCACTTTGGCCTACCAAAGTGCTGGGATTACAGGCATGATCCACCACGCCCAGCAAAATACTGACAAATATTAATTTTATTAAATTTATTTAATACATTTAGGTAATAAAATTACCTAAAATATAAGCTGGTCACGTTCTTTTTTGCTTATCACAAAACTGAAAGTCTACCCATGTTAAGAAATTAAATAAAAGTAAATACATATAGAAAAAAATAACTTGAAGGACATCCACCAAAATGTTAACAGGGGCTATCTTTGGGTGGTAGGTGGGTTTTTCCCTCTTGCCTTTTGTTTTCTTGTTAAACAATCAGGAAAGAAAATCAGTGTCCTATTTCATAAAGTTAATACAAGAACTTCTGATGTAAGTATTTCCAATGTAACAGCAGGAAGAGTAGGGTCCTTATTGTCTCAGTTTTGCCTAGTTTATCTTCAGATTGCAAATCATAGGAAAGCTGACTCTCAAAGTGTTGGGATTACAGGCGTGAGCCACTGCACCCAGCCTGAGCATTTCTTAACCTGTGGAACAGGAAGATATTCTAGGCCTCTCTTTTACCTGCCTTGTCTCAGCTCTTCAGTAAGACATTTATCTACAGACCCCTGGTTCTTTTATGTGGAGGTGCTCATTAAGCTCATTGCTCCTGAAAGTGGCAAGAGTGGGATGGAGGCAAAAGGATGGGGGAGAATGGGAGGCTGGAGTGGTAGAAGGAGGAGGTTGGGGGTGGTGTGTCACAGCTTATATGCCCTTCCTAGCCTGTCTGTAGAGACAGCAAGAATGGCAATATGGCCGGGCGTGGTGGCTCACGCCTGTAATCCCAGCACTTTGGGAGGCCAAGGCAGGTGGATCACGAGGTCAAGAGATCGAGACCATCCTGGTTAACATGGTGAAACCCCGTCTCTACTAAAAATACAAAAAATTAGCTGGGCATGGTGGCGTGTGCCCGTAATCCCAGCTATTCAGGAGGCTGAGGCAGGAGAATTGCCTGAACCCAGGAGGCGGAGGTTGTGGTGAGCCGAGATCGCGCCATTGCACTCCAGCCTGGGTAACAAGAGCGAAACTCCATCTCCAAAAAAAAAGAATGGCAATATTCTGTGCAATTGGATATTTGGACAGGTAATTCAAAAGAGGCTACAAAACCTTTTTCTGTATTCTGTCTTCCTTTCTTCTTTGAGTGAAATGAAGGGGAAATGAGCTATAAAGCCAGATAGAAAAATTAATTTTTGAAAAGAGGAGGTGTGCTTTTTTTACTGTTAATTGGAGGGAAGGAGGAAAACATGGGTAAAATTATAGTTAAGTCCAGGCGTGGTGGCTCATGCCTGTAATCCTAGCACTTTGGGAGTCCGAGGTGGGCAGATTATGAGGTCAAGAGATCGAGACCATCCTGGCCAACATGGTGAAACCCTGTTTCCACTAAAAATACAAAAATTAGCCAGGCGTGATGGCACATGCCTGTGGTCCCAGCTACTCGGGAGGCTGAGGCAGAAGAATTTCTTGAACCCAGGAGGCAGAGGTTGCAGTGAGCCGAGATTGTGCCACTGCACTCCAGCCTGGCAACAGAGCAAGACTCCATCTCAAAAAAAAAAAAATTGTAGTTAAATTAGTATGTCCCTATAGCAGAAGACAGGTATTAAGGAGACAGGTACAAGGTACTAATATAAAATATACATATTATATAGAATGTATGTTACACATATATTACATGCATATACACATATAACACACATAGAAAATAGTTTCGAATGTATGTGTGTACATATATATATATATACATACATATATATTTCATATGGTTTAGATGTGTGTGTCCCCTCCAAATATCATATTGAAATATAGGCTGGGCATGGTGGTTTACGCCTATAATCTCAGCACTTTGGGAGCCGAATCACCTGAGGTCAGGAGTTCAAGACCAGTCTGGTCAACACTGCAAAACCCCATCTCTACTAAAAATACAAAAATTAGCCAGGCATGATGGCAGGCGCCTGTAATCCCAGCTACTTGAGAGACTGCGGCAGGAAGAATCACTTGAATCTGGGAGGTGAAGGTTGCAGTGAGCCAAGATCATGCCATTGAACTCCAGCCTGGGCAATTGGGCGACAGAGCAAGACTCC